TCTCCATCCTTGGAGATATTCAGAAGCTGGCTGGACATGGTCCTGGGCAACTGGGTCTGGGCAGCCCTACTGGAGCACAGGGGCTTGGACCGGATGACCTCTGGAGGTCCCTTCCAACCTCAACTAGTCTGTGACTCCGTGAAGATGGATGCCTACAAGTGTACAGGCACAAAGAACCCTACCAATGGTTTCAAGAGGCAGTGCAAACATTTACCTTATTTGTAACTACCAAATCACAGAATGGTATGGGGTTGGAAGGGATTCTACAAGTATCTCAAGGGAGGGTTGAAGGAGGAGGGAGCCAGACTCTTTTCAGTGGTTCCCAGTGAGAGGACAAGGGGCAATGGGCACAAGTTGGAACAGAAGAGGTTCCACTCAAATATGAGGAGAAACTTCTTCACGGTGAGGGTGACAGAGCCCTGGAACAGGCTGCCCAGGGAGGGTGTGGAGTCCCCTTCCTTGGAGATTTTCAAGACCCGCCTGGATGCAGCCCTGAGTAACATGCTGTAGCTCTAGGCAATCCTGCTTCAGCAGGGGAGTTGGACTAGATGATCTCTATGGTCCCTTCCAACTCTAAAATTCAGTGAAATTCAGTGAAATTCATCACGGAGTGCCTGAGTGTGTGCTCTTGCCTTTGCACGTGCTTTTAGTTCAGTTTCCTCCATGTTCTTCATCACCGAGTGCCTGAGTGTGTGCTCCTGCCTTTGCACGTGCTTTTAGTTCAGTTTCCTCCATCACCGACAGCGGAGGGAGCCGAACGTGGTGGAAGTAGAAAAATCGATGCCGGGAGTTAATGCACATCAGAGGAGGAAGGAGATTAGTGGGAGATTGTTAATGGTCCTGTCACTCTCTGCTGGCCTCTTGCTTTGCGTGGTTTTTATTTGACAGTGAAGTCAGAGCGTGCAGAGGGAATTTCGGTCAAGGGAGAAAGATGAAAAAGAGCGAACTGTTAACGGAAATACTTGCCCTGTGTATCTTATGACTCACTTTTTTTTTTTTTCTTCCACTTGCCAAAACAAGTTAGCAGGGAAAAAAGGTTTTATTAAGGTAACTGGGAAGACCTGTTTGTGTTCATGAAGCGTGAAAACTGCCGGCAGCTTTTGCATCCCAAAATGTTCCTTCTCGTTCCCTTCCACGTAAGTCCCCCCAGCAGGAGGGGTTTGTTGTGCTTCAGTGTCCCTTATCCCATCAGGAGGAGGAGGGGAGGCACAGGCTTTGCAATCCCCATCACTACCAGAGACATGGTGGTTCTGATCTTCCCCTCTGTGTCCAGCAGCCCACATCCTCTGTGACATAAAGGTTTTTTTTAATTATTTGTAATCATTTTCCAAATAACAAGTTCTCTCTCCTCCCTCCAGACCCAGAGCTTTGTCTGTCATCTCCATTTTCTGCTTTTCCTCCCTTATTTCAGTGTTCAGCTGGGAGCATACTCATTTTTTGGCAGGGAAAATAAGTAGAGGTGAAACAGGGTTATGGTATATGGGTATATGGGTATATGGGAAGGTGTTAATGGGAACCCACAACCGGGTCTTTAATCCGCGGTTGTGCAGGTGTTTGAAAATGACAGCTTTTCTGCCCAGACGATGGGTTTTCCACGCGTTCCTGCTTTTTTTTCTCTTCCGTTTCAATTTGCTGGCTTTCCCAAATTTATGAGAAACGTGTGACTGATGTTCAGGACGTGATTTCAAGATGTTCCCTGAAATGCCGGAGTAGATCGAACGGTGTTCAAAGGGGTTTTGTGTGATGCCCAGACAAGAGCCTGCCCTCCAGGAAAGCTCAGGACTTAACAAATTGGCTCAACTCCACCAGAAGCCCTATAATTGTAGATACAGTGACTCATTCTTTCTGACTCATGGTTTCTTCCTATGAAAAGTCTATATTTTCGAATATCTAGCAGATGGCACCGTGGTTTAATTATACTTGATTCTTTGAAACAGTTTCTCTTAAAATAGCCCTGTGTAGTTTTTATTAGCCCCCTGCACAGAGTCCTGGCGCTTTTTCCATCACTTAAGTGTATTCTGTGAAGGTTTTAGAGAGCTACTGTATCACTTTCCAGAGAGATCCAAGTTCCATAAAAGTTTGAGAATATCATTCAGATTTAGGGGTTTTTTTTATACATGTTCCATTACACTTTTTTTGCCAAAACATTAAGCAGAATGGCTATTATGCAAGAAAAATGCTGTGTATTATTCCTGCCCTTATGTGACATCAAAAAAAAAAATGCAAAGTGTTATTAGGTTCTTATATGAATTCCTGAAATGAGTGATGCAGGTCCCACTTGAATGGAGATGATGTTTTACAGAGGAGATGATAGTCTGCTGTTGTTATTTAAATAAAAGAAGGCAAACAACACAACCCAAGAGTAATTACAGCTCATGTTCATTATCTTTGGTATGTTACAGGTAGGGTTAGAAGGGCGTGTTAAAAAAAGATCCTTATTGATGTCCCACTTTAATGAACTCTTATCAAGAATTATCTGTCTAAAATAAGTGAATTTAATGCATTTCTGAGATGACTGAAATGTTTGTCTCGGTTATTAGTGCACTTCTTGCCAAATAAGTGTTCTGGGAAAGGATGGATTGAAAGGATGGTTTGTCTACCAATCTTTAGCCTTTCTACCACCCTTCCCTGAGCTGGTATTTTTGGGCAAGTCAGGTGTCCACTGCTGCATGTGATCCATATGTTATTTACAGCAATTTTGGTTTCAGTAGAGTTTGTGTCTCAGTCCCTGCTGTAATTCAGGCACCCTGGATGGTCAGGCTGAATTTGTGTTTCCTTCTTACTGAATATGTGTTTCCTTTTGTTTCCTTCTTACTGAATATGTGTTTCCTTTTTTACCCCTCGTCCTATCTCTGCATTCACTGATAAAGAGTCCCTCCCCATCTCTCCTGTAGCCTCCCTTCAGGTACTGAAATATTGTTATGATACATGAAAAAACATCTCGAAAGGGTAATAAATAAAGAGAAAATGAATTGGAAATGTTTTGCGATGTTTATTTGTGAAAATGACCACATTGGAATATCAAGATCCTAGAAATGCAAGAGCTGAAATGTTGGAATCTCAGAAAAGTGAGGTTTCTGTAGGTACTAACATAAAATCACAGTAAGTGTTGACTAAGATGTGCAAAATCACTTCCCAGTTCTTTAATTTTTAACATTCTCCATTTCTTTGAAGACTGATACTCCAGCAAAGATTTTTGTGGTGGGCGGGGATTTGATTGTTTGAAACAAATCACCCGTGTATCTTTAAATGGGGTTTCAAATCAGTATATAACCATTAAAAAGAGATCTGCTTAAAAACAAACAAACAAACAAAAAGATGCAGAACGAGAGCTTTGATCCAGTAAGATTTTTTGAATACTTTTGGCTCAGTTCCACGTGACACAAAGACAAGCTGAGGTTTAATTGTGCGAGTTGACTTTGATAGATTTGCTCATGGGTATAAAGTGCTTTGTGCTTAATTTTGTTGGTGCCAAGCGCTCGGTGCCGATCGGGGTTAAGACCTTTGATCTTATGCCTTTAAAAATATGTGGTAGTTTACAAGGATGAAATGCATCTATTTTCCAGAATAACCAAGGAAGGAGGAGATGTTAGTTTTTTTCAATATGCAATGGTAATGGAAACTATGAATGGAATAAAAGAGGAAAGAAATTAGGGCTATTTTGAAGTTGATAATGAATTATTTCACATTTAAAGAAGGTCTTTTTTTGGGTACCAGGCTGCTACTTTGTGTATTTACTGAAGAAGTGAGTTGATGTGTTAAATTTCTGATTGTGAACCAGGAGAGATGATCTGCTTCTGAAATGACATGAACATTTTCATCAAACTGGTATTTCACCAACTCCCTGCATTCACCTGAAAATAGACGTGTTTGTCTGAAAGCCAAATACCAGTTTGGTGAATTGAAGTTAAATATTGAAAAGATTCAGACAGATCCTCAAATGTTGTATAAAGAAGTAGCATCTCAGTAATGTCTAGTTTAGAACAACCACATTTGGTGTCCCAGCTCTTTATCCCGTGTGATTTTACTGGACCAGCAGAAAAATGATAAATTATGGTCATTAACATTGTTGGGTTTTAAACTTTTAAAGCGTGTGTGCACAGAGTAATGAAAATGCTTGCAGAAAATAAAACTGTATGCAAAGAGCATAGAAATATAAATACTTGAAAAGCTCATTTCTTTAACTTTTATTCAACAAATTACAACTGACAGAGCTCGCGTCGCTGGGCGTGTAGAGTTGCTTTAATAATTATCAGTTGCATATTTTCGAAAGGTTATACTGCTCTCTAGCTTATAAAATTGATGTTCTGCAAATTTGCCACTTGGTGGTGCCAGATTGATTTATAAATCACAGATGTGAGCTCAGACCAGACGGTTTAAGTTGTATTGAGGGACGTTCACTAAGAGATAAGTAAAATTGGGTTGGAAAACTTGGATTCTGTGATGGCTCTGGAGCATCAAGCCCCAAATCTGGAGTCCCCTCTCTGTCCCCCTGGTGCAAAAGCGAATAAGTACGTGGCAAAGCTATATCTGTGAGGATGAAGTTCCTGGGACTTTTCTCCTGTGCCACGTGCCCAGCCAAAAATAGTTTGGATTCAATGATATTCCAGGCGGCTTTGGAGTTTCTGGAGGCAGCTGCAGGTGTGCTGCTCACGGTGGTATTTCTGTAGGTGTTTGCCTGGTCTAGTTCCTGTCCAGTTGTTGTTTTAATGCTGCCAAAATTTTTACATATTTATCACTGAGGTCTGTTTTCTTGAGTTTAAGGAAGGGCAAAGGATGAGCGTCGTAAATATAAATCTAAAAATGACCCACGTGATTAAATTAACCTTCTTTTGTCTCTCAGTTGCGGGGCTGCTCTTCATCAGGCTTTAAGTTACTGTATTTTAATAAAATTTCTCAATTTGTCACAGTGTTTCAGTGTTTAGCATTGAAGTATATTTGCACCAGACTTCATAACTTTTTTTTTTCTTTCTCTCTCTCTCTCTCTCTCGATACTGCAGATCCAAAAGAATTGGTGGAGCTTCACTTGAAACTGATGAGAAAGATTGGGAAGTCTGTCACAGCAGACAGATGGGAAAAATATTTGATCAAGGTACGATACGCGCGGTGTGTTCTTCTGCCGTGCTGGAGTACGGGTTGGGATGAGCTGGTGTGTCAGCAGTTCCTGGGATGAATTATAGTCGACCTCGGGCTGTTGTGGCCAACATCCATGTGTATGCCCAGACCTCAGTTGTGTAACATCCCAGTTTATCTTTTGATCTGCCTGGGTAAAAAAAAATAAATCTCTGAAAACAGGCAATATTTTCTTCATGCAAAAGATCATACACTTTCACACCTGGCAGTGAAATACTTTTTTTTAAGCATTAAGACCCTAAATAAAGAAGGAGATTTAGTGGCCTGCAAACGGGCTAAATTGAGCAGAGAGATTTCCACAGTAATAATTTGTTTTTGTATCAATTCTCTGAATATGATTTAATTATTGTGATTTAGTCTGTATTCATACAGGGACTAACCCTACAGAGTTCTTGTAGCATGTGTTAATAGAGTCATAGAGTCATAGAGTTGTCCAGGCCGGAAGGGACCTCCAAAGGTCATCTAGTCTGACCTCCCTACAGTCAGCAGGGACACCCCCAAACAGACCAGGTTGCCCAGGGCCTCGTCGAGCCTCTCCTTGAATGGGGCCTCAACCACCTCCCTGGTTCCAGTGCTCCACCACCCTCACAGTGAAGAACCCTCTCCTAATCTCCAGTCTAAATCTGTTCCCCTCCAGCTTGAAGCCATCGCCCCTCTTCTTTGCTTTGCAGGCCTTTGTAAACAGCTTCCCCCCAGCCTTCCTGTAGGCTCCCTTCAGGTACTGGAAGGCTGCTATTAGGTCTCCCCGGAGCCTCCTCTTCTTCAGGCTGAACAGCCCCAGCTCCCTCAGCCTGTCCTCGTAGCAGAGGTGCTCCATCCCCCTGATCATCCTCATGGCCCTCCTCTGGACCCTCTCCATCAGGTCCATGTCCTTCTTATATTGAGGCCTCCAGACCTGCACACAATACTCCAGGTGAGGTCTCACCAGAGCAGAGTAAAGTGGAAGAATTACCTCTCTGGACCTGCTGAGAGGTAAATAATAATAAATGAAAGCATCGCAGCGATGCGCGCTCAGAATGGCACAGCTAAAATGAAAATGGAGTTATGCATCAGGAAAAAGAGAGCATCCCATCATTTTACATAATTCCCTATTGGTGTTTTAATTGTGGCTATGCCATTGTTGGCACCTTACATGCTCAGTTTAAAGAGTTTTACACTGCTTCACAAAACAAGAATATGCATATATGCAAAATTAATAGGTTACCGTTTCTGCTCTGGGTACATTTTGTATGCCTTTTAATCCCCAAAAATGTAGTCTTGGTGTATTGTCTGTAGAGCCACAATCACATCTTTAGAAATAAGAACATTATGGTAATAACAATGACACAAATGATGGCACTTGGCAAATGCAGTTGCAGTTTTGCCCCCTTAAGTGCCACGTAAAAGCTTTACAGGGGCAGGGATTCGACTTGAGGTTGGTGTAGTTTGAAGGTGATGATGTTTTTAGGGCTGGGAGTGTGTCAGGAAATGACCTCCTGAAGGGCCTTGGGTTAAGTCTAACCTCTTAACTGGGTGTCAAGTCTTTATGGTGATGCTGTAAAATAATAATGTAATAATTTATGTAACTTTTATGTACTTTGTACATTACCAAGTGCTGTTCTTACTGAATTGTGTTAAATTCCTTAATATACTGAGAAGCAGCAAGCTGAGAAAAGCCAACTCTTGACTAGTGATGTATCCTACTGAAGCCACTTACCAGCAGTGTGGTAAGCAGAAAACAGACAGAAAACATGTTTTTGAGGGAGTAGTTTGGAAAATCTTCCTTCAGCAGGCATTGAAAGGATGGGAAAGTGGTGAGGAAGCCCTCCCACATGCTCCTGTTAAGACCAAGTAAGCGGTAATAAATTCTGCTTCATTTAACGGTCTCCAGAGTTAACTTGAAGCTTATTCCAGCCAGTGGTTCAAAGCAGCCTTGAAGAACAAAGGAATTTGAATATAACTAACTAGAGAGGCATGCTAATATTGCCCCCGTTTCAAAGGGGTATAATTAATTTAGAAGCACATTGAAGAGTATTGGGAAATGCCACAAAAGGCAGGAAAAGCTGAAAAGGTGTAGAACCGTTGAGACCATTCTTCCTAGATGCCCACAGAATTGTCTGACTTGTTGTTGATGTGCTCTAAGAGCTCATTTTGACCTGAGTTTCCTTTGTTAGAAACTACTAATATTTTACTTTGATAAAACAGGGTTTGATGTGTTCTAGATGTGGCCATTTTGACAGGACAAGAGGAAATGGGCACAAACTTGAATGTAAGAAGTTCCATCTAAACATGAGGAGGAACTTCTTCACATTGAGGGTGGCAGAGCCCTGGAAGAGGCTGCCCAGAGAGGTGGTGGAGTCTCCTTCTCTGGAGACATTCAAAACCCCCCTGGACACGTTCCTGTGCAGCCTGCTCTGGGTGGACCTGCCTTGGTAGGGTGGTTGGACTAGATGATCTCCAGAGGTCCCTTCCAACTCCTACTATTCTTTGATTCTGTGAATATATTTCGGGATAGGAAGTGAACATGGCAGTTTGAGAGCTCTTTCCCTTCCCACTTCTGATGTGGAACTGCCCAAGCTGACTCATCACCATACACACTAGTCTTTTTTGGAAAAAAATGGATGTAGGCCTCAAGGAATCTGTTTTTTCTGTGCAAATATGGTCATTCTGTGGTCATATATGACTGAGGTAAAGAAGTGACTTGTCCTAAACATATGAGCAACTAAGAAGAACTGTCCAGCTTAGATGTTTTTTGAAAAACATGTAGATGAATTAATTCCAGCTGCGCTGGCTCCTGACAAAATGCTTTAACTTGACCATTGGCAAACATATTTTGCGGTTTTGTACAGATAAGATTTCTCTGGACTGATCAGTCTGGGACCTTCAACCCGAAATTGGCGTATTCTGAACACACTGAATCATAGAATGGTTTGGGTTGGAAGAGACCTTAAAGATCAAGTTCCAACCCCCTGCCATGGGCAGGGACACCTCCCACCAGACCAGGTTGCTCAAAGCCCCGTCCAACCTTGAACACTTCCAGGGATGGGGCAGCCACAGCTTCTCCGGGCATCTGGGGCCAGTGTCTCACCACCCTCACAGCAAAGAATTTCTTCCTGAAATCTCATCTAAATCTCCCCTCTTTCAGTTTAAAACCATTCCCCCTTGTCCTGTGGCTCCCCTCCCTGATCAAGAGTCCCTCCCCATCTCTCCTGGAGCCCCTTTAGGGACTGGAAGGGACTCTAACATAAAATTTAGGGTTGGTTTTGCTGCTGTTTCTGGATACAGTTTTCTGTGTTTTTCAGATGTGATTTACAAGTTTTTTAGGAGCTGAGCGACCATATCTTGTGTTTAATAATAATTAGGTGATGGAAGCCTACACTGTTTTCAGAGAATCATGGAATGGTTTGGGTTGGAAGGCACCTTAAAGAGTTCCAACCCCATGCCCTGGGCAGGGACACCTCCCACTAGACCAGGTTGCTCAAAGCCCCATCCAGCCTGGCCTTGAACACCTCCAGGGATGGAGCAGCCACAGCTTCTCTGGGCAACCAGGGCCAGGCTCTCACCACCCTCAAAGGAAAGAATTTCTTCCTAGTATCCAATCTAAATATCACCTCTTTCAATTTAAAAACATCACCCCTCCTCCTATGGCTCCACTCCTGATCAAGAGTCCCTCCCCATCTCTCCTGGAGCCCCTTTAGGGACTGGAAGGGACTCTAACATAAAATTTAGGGTTGGTTTTGCTGCTGTTTCTGGATACAGTTTTCTGTGTTTTTCAGATGTGATTTACAAGTTTTTTAGGAGCTGAGCGACCATATCTTGTGTTTAATAATAATTAGGTGATGGAAGCCTACACTGTTTTCAGAGAATCATGGAATGGTTTGGGTTGGAAGGCACCTTAAAGAGTTCCAACCCCATGCCCTGGGCAGGGACACCTCCCACTAGACCAGGTTGCTCAAAGCCCCATCCAGCCTGGCCTTGAACACCTCCAGGGATGGAGCAGCCACAGCTTCTCTGGGCAACCAGGGCCAGGCTCTCACCACCCTCAAAGGAAAGAATTTCTTCCTAGTATCCAATCTAAATATCACCTCTTTCAATTTAAAAACATCACCCCTCCTCCTATGGCTCCACTCCTGATCAAGAGTCCCTCCCCATCTCTCTTGGAGCCCCTTTAGGGACTGGAAGGTCATTATAAGGTCTCCCTGGAGCCTTCTCTTCTCCAGGCTGAACAACCACAACTCTCGCAGCCTGTCTTCATAGGAGAGGGGCTCCAGCCTTCAGATCATTTTCGTGACCCTCCTCTGGACCGTTCCAACAGGTCCATGTTCTTCCTGTGTTGAGGATTGAGTTTGATTGAGTCTTTTCAGCAGGGATTTGCTTCCATGCAGACTTTGTGTGCTAATTTGGGGAGTCGTGATTTAACGCTGGGACTTCAAAAATGATCTGGACTGAAGCTCCTTTTAACAGGCATTTCCCCTAGAAGAGTCCCACTGACTGGAGATCCCACAATGTCTCCTCAGTTGATAAACAGCTCCTCTCTGTTCATGAGAGTTGTCGTAAGCACTTCTGAGTTGTTTAGGAGTTGAGGGAATTCCTTCTCCACTGTTATTATTGGAGCTCCTGCTGATTCAATCTATTTATCCTCTACTGCCCATGATTTTTTTCGTGTTTTGGGTTGTTTTTTTTTTTTCCCCAGATTGTTGTCACTGAATTCATTTGCTTCAAGTAAATTGAAATTGGCTCTACTTAGAGTCTGTTGAAATATTTATCAAATGGCTCGAGGCCAAAATATTTAGCGTTTTCTAAAGAATAATAATTCCACAGCGTGGAGTGAATATCAGTTGCATTCATCATCTGCATTACAGTTGTAGGACTTAACGTTCCCAGGAGAGCTTGGGAGCTTACATGCTAAATGCTGTAAAGGCACGGAATAAGAAATCACATCTACTTTTGGGAATTTATATTCTAAACAGGCAAGTCAGAAATAGAAAAATGGAAGATCTTTGCACAGCAAAAGACAAGGATCCCTTCCCAGTTCCGAGATCAAGAGGTTTAGAGAAGTTGGTGGTGACCAGGACCTGGATGATACACTCTTCCGTGGAGATTTGCTGGTGCTTCCCAACCTATCCCAGTTTTATTTTTCATCTTTTTTGTGAGGTTTTCTGACCTGCAATCCTGCAGAGATCATGTACAATTGTTGCTGCAGTAAGGTACTATTAATAAAAAGTTGCTTTTAACCACTAACCCTAGAAATCTTATTTTATTTTGACAGATATGCCAAGAATTCAACAGCACTTGGGCTTGGGAGATGGAAAAAAAAGGATACCTAGAAATGAGTGTTGAATGCAAACTGGGGATTCTGAAGGTACGCGTTCATCCGCTGAGTTTCTGAATGACTTTTTCCATATTCCCTTAAGTATCTTGGATATTTTACTTTCTCAATCACTTCAACATTTTGCAAATTTAGCTTGACCGAACCATAAGGAGATGCCTCAAATGTGGAGCTGATCTGGTAACCGGCAGGGTGCTCATGGTAGTGGGTTGGGCCCAAACTGAATGTAACACTCTGTGTATTTTTCACACTTTGTATGAAAATTGTGTTGTACTTACTGTCAGTAGCTATTTGCCTGTGTGATACACTTTTAAAAATGTTGATTAGCTTGCAATTAGATCAGCTGATCTGAATTCCAAAGGCAAAGGTGGGACTTCGGCTTTTCAAGTCTTGAGAAAACTGGTTCCAGGTTCTGTTTGTTGTTTTTTTTTTATTGGAGAATAAGACCATTTGTAGTATGTAAAAAAAAAATAATTAAAAATAAACTTTCTAAGCTGGCCAGGAAAAAAACCAATTAAAAATTGTGTCTCATTTAAAAACAGCATGGTCTGGAAAAAAACCCCAGCAGCTATAGCTCACTCCTGGATCTTGTAGAGAGGCTTAAAAAGAAGTCCCAAATCACACCGATAATTTTCTTCTTTCTGTTTATATTTTGATGTTTTAACAGCCTCTCTACTTTCTCCCTTTTTCAGTATCTCTGTGAATGTCAGTTCGATGACAATCTAAAGTTTAAGAATATAATTAACGAGGAGGATGCCGATGCCATGCGTCTGCAGCCCATCGGTCGAGACAAGGACGGGCTGATGTATTGGTATCAGCTGGATCAGGAGCATAACGTCAGGATGTACATAGAAGAACAGGATGACCAGGATGGATCCACGTGGAAGTGCATTGTTAGGTATTCCACTTTTTTGTTTGGTTGGTTTTGTCATTTTTTTCTTATTATTTTGTAGGGGTTTTGCTGTTTGTGACTGAGCTTTAGAAATTTATTTCAATAAATCTCCGTTTCTCACAGAGTAGGATTCATGGCAGTGGGATTTTCTGCCTTCATGTGTGTGTTTTAGGGGAAAAACCACATAGAGAAATAATTCACTGATTTGTTGGTAATAGCCAATGTGTAATTTGCTTTCTGCTTAATCAAGCTACAGTGGATATATGGAAAGGGTACTGAGAGGACAATGGCCCTGAAGGACTCTTCTTTCTTTAACTTCTGCTCTATTAAGGCAATTACAAGTTTTGTTTTTGGGGGAATTACATTGCAATTTTTACTTCATGGAACGACAAAAATGTTGACAGTATAAATAAGCAAGAAAAATCCTCTGGAGTAAAATTTGGCTTATAGATCACTGCCGATGAGGTGCGTGACGATGCAGCATGTCATATATACGTGGCTCAGTGCCTCAGTTGCTGCAGATTGGTCTCTTAATATTTTTATAATATTTTAGCTTCAAATTTATGGGGTTTTGTAATTCTTGTTACATATTGAGCAACCTGGTCTAGTGGGAGGTGTCCCTGCCCATGGCAGGGGGGTTGGAACTCCATGATCTTTAAGCTCCCTTCCAACCTGAACCATTCTATGTTTCTATGATATTTTGTTTTTCATTATCCTATTCTATGCAAAGTATATAAGGTCTTTCTTACTGGAAAAACAATTAGTTTGAAATCATTTTCATATCTGCTATATCCATTTTTACTTTATGTAAACTTCTTTTTTTTTTTAATTTTGGTTAGTTCCAAGTGGGTTTTAAACCGGACTCACCAGAATCAACTCTGACTTCAAAAGTACATAGAAATGTAAAAATAGATCTTAAAAAAAAAAAAAAAGTCAAATTATGGGTTGTTTTTTTTCTGTTTTATTCTGTTTTATTTACACATCCATGAGTTTAGTAACCAAGGGAGTCATACAAAACTGTTAAAACCACTATCAACGGGCCATAAAATGATCAGTGTTACTACCAAATTTCAACAGCTGTTGTAGGTGGATAAAGTGAATGTACCTGAACAAACCAATCAAGCTGTGTGGTGTTTATCTCTCTTCATGCGTTATAGACTCCAGAGATCGGTGCTAAAAGCAGAAGAAATTAGGGGAAAATTCTGACGCTCCACACGACAGGGAAACACAGTAATGAGCTGTAAAATCTGAAACGGTTTTACACCTGTGAGATGCCTTGTCTTGGGGTGGTTGCCCTTCCAGGCTTCGTTTTTTTGTTCTTTAAACGTGGGCAAAACAAATTGCTGAAGGGTGACTTTGAATAAGGAAATGCGAGAGCCTGATTATTATGGTCTATTACAAAAACTACGACTCTGTTTAATCATCGCTTAAATTCATTATACATCAGGGTGTTGTTTTTTGTAGGTAGATTTCTAGTTCAAATAAGGAGTTAGAGTGCGCTGAGACTCACATGCATAGAGAGGCACATTTTCTCACTGTAATAACTCAAGTAGCTGGAGTTTTCTAGGTATCTTTGTGTTGTTTGCTACATGTGCTTAGGATGGGTCCTGGTGGACAACAGGATGCCCATGACTGTTGTTTGCTACATTTTGCTTAGGATGGGTCCTGGTGGACAAGAGGGTGACCATGAGCTAACAATGTGCCCTTGTGGCCAAGAAGGCCAATGGCATACTGGGGTGCATCAAGAAGAGCGCGGCCAGCAGGTGGAGGGAGGTCTCCCCCACTGCTCTACCCTTTTGAGGCCCCATCTGGAGAACTGGGACCAGTTCTGGGCTCCTCAGTTCCAGAAGGACAGGGAACTGCTGGAGAGGGTACAGCAGAGGACCACGAAGATGATGAGGGGCCTGGAGCATCTGTCTCACGAGGAGAAGCTGAGGGACTTGGGTCTTTTTAGTCTGGAGAAGAGAAGGCTGAGGGGGGATCTGATCAATACCTATAAATACTTAAAGGGAGGGTGTCAGGAGGATGGGGCCAGTCTTTTTTCATGGTGCCCAGGGACAGGACACGAGGAAACAGGCACACACTTGAATCTAAGAAGTTCCACCTAAACATGAGGAGGAACTTCATTCCTTTGAGGGTGGCAGAGCCCTGGAAGAGGCTGCCCAGAGAGATGGTGGAGTCTCCTTCTCTGGAGACCTTCAAAACCCCCCTGGACACGTTCCTGTGCAACCTGCTCTGGGTGGACTTACTTTAGCAGGGGAGTTGGACTAGATGATCTCCAGAGGTCCCTTTCAACCCCATAGCATTCTGTGATTCTGTGGTATTTGCAGAAAATGTCTTAATTGCTTTAGAAAATTTGACTCGAATGATACTGTTGCTTTTTTGGTGCATGAGCAGAAAACTACATGTATTTCCTCTCACAGAATCACAGAATCTTCATGGTTTGAAGGGACCTTTGAGATCATCGAGTTCCACCAAAAAAACCCCCACCAAAACAAAAAACAACAACAAAACAAAAAACAAAAAAAAACCCCACCTAAACAAAAAACAATAAGAACAAAAAACTAACACACAACCAAACCCATAAACAGACACAAACCAACAATCTCAGGCACTAGAGCATGCCCTGAAGAGCCACGTCTACACATTTCTTAAATACCTCCAGGGATGGTGGCTCCACCACCTCCCTGGGCAGGCTGTTCCAGTGCCTGACCAACCTCTCAGTAAAGTAATTCTTCCTAATATCTAATCTAAACCTCCCCTGCCACAGCTTTATACCATTTCCTCTGGTCCTGTCATTATTCCCTTGGGAGAAGAGGCCAACACCCACCTCTCTACAACCTCCTTGCAAAGAAAAAGCAGTGAGGAGCGGTTAAGAGGATAATAAATAAAAGAATGATAGTGGCAGCTTGGATCCAGACAGAACTTGAGTCAAAAGGTCCTTCCAAAAAAGTGATTTTTATTTTGGTGTACATAAATTGGAAGGTTTCTGACAGCTAAGTTGCAACCACTCTGGTGGGACAGGCATTTCACTATGGTCATATGTCAGGTTTTCAGGGCAGGATTCATTTCAGCAGGTGGCGTTTGTTTATTTTTTATGAATCCCTTTGGGGTGAGTAAGTGGCTTATCAGACACTCTGTTTTTTCTCCTGTCATCTAGAAACCGCAATGAGCTCGCCGAGACCCTTGAGCTCTTGAAAGCACAAATTGATCCTGCCCTGTTGAAAAACAACAGTTCTCAGCAGGAGAATTCATCACGTGAAAGCCCAAGCATAGAAGATGAAGACACCAAAAAGGGCGAAGAAGCACCTACACAAGGTTTTCTGCCTTCTTTTCTCAAATTTTAAATGTTGTGCTGTGGCAAGTAAATCAAGTACCTATTGAATACTTTGAAAGGATAAATTTTATTGGAGGTTTTTTTAGTGCGTATTTAGGCTCAAGAGTATTTATAAGAAGAGAACTGTGTATAAATTGTGTATAAATTTAGAATCATTCTATGATTCTAAATTGTTTTCGAAGTAATTTTATTTTTGCTGTACATTTTATATTATATTGTAAATACTCATCATTGTATGCTTTTGTGGAGCGTTGAGCTGTTGCCAATCTTTTCCTGTTCTAGCAACATTAAAATTGTAAAAAGAAAAAAAAAATCTGTTTGTGCAATGCCATGATTGAAATCAATCCAGTATTGGGTGTGGTGTTTACTTTCTCTTTTGAGTTTGAATCAGAAAAATACAGGTTGCTTCCTCAAATGTGTCATAATCTACATGATTTTTTGTGAAGACATGAGCTAAAGCAATTTAAAATACTAAAATATTTTAGAAGTGAAGTGGTCTTTACCTGCCTCCGCTGTTCTTAACAAAGAACCTTTTTTTCCTTCCTTATTATCATGTCATTGCACATATTTAACAACTGACTTGTTGGTTTGTGTGTTGTTTTTATTAAGTATCAGTATCAGCCTGAAGTATTTTGTGTTGTAAGAATCGGATCTTTTTTTTGATGTTATGAAAAGCTAAAAAGCTCGTTATCCCAAGTAATTTTACTGGTAGTAACTGGGGTAGTAACCTAGTACCCCAGTACTATCCTTTTGTTAAAATACAGGAAACGATTTTCACAATCAGAAAGAAGATGTAGGGAATCCACTGTGTTCGTATGTGTTTCTTCAAATCTTTTGAAGTTAATTTGATATATGGGATTAGCCAAGGCCTGTCTGGGTTCTGAGTATCAAAGAGAAAGATTTGCTACTTCATTCTCCTTCTTTGCAACAAACAGTGTAGACAAGAAGAAAGAAAGAAAATATTTAGATATTTGAGTTGTTGCGGAAGCATTAAAAGACTCCTGTAGAAATTGCAGTAAATTGTGATGAACAGCAGCAAAATTGTCTGTCAGTTGAAGGCATGTCCAGTATCTAACTGTGCGTGGAAGTGACAACGTAACCTGCCTCGTTACCGACGCTGCAGAATTAATTCCAAGTAGTGATCTTTGTCTCACTAAAAATTGGTCATAAAATCATAGAGTCATAGAATTGCCCAGGCTGGAAGGGACCTCCAAAGGTCATCTAGTCCCCCCTCCCCGCAGTCAGCAGGGACACCCCCAACTAGACCAGGTTGCCCAGGGCCTCGTCGAGGCTCACCTTGAATATCTCCAGGGAAGGGGCCTCAACCGCCTACCTGGGCAACTTGTTCCAGTGCTCCACCACCCTCACAGTGAAGAACCCTCTCCTAATCTCCAGTCTAAATCTGTTCCCCTCCAGCTTGAAGCCATTTCCCCTCGTCCTGTCACTGCAGGCCTTTCTAAACAGGTTCTCCCCAGCCTTCCTGTAGGCCCCCTTCAGGTACTGGAAGGCCGCTATTAGGTCTCCCCGGAGCCTCCTCTTCTCCAGGCTGAACAACCCCAGCTCCCTCAGCCTGTCCTCGTAGCAGAGGTGCTCCATCCCCCTGATCATCCTTGTGGCCCTCCTCTGGACCCTCTCTGTCAGGTCCCTGTCCTTATATTGAGGGCTCCAGACCTGCACACAGTACTCCAGGTCGGGTGTGGTCAAGTCAGCTTAAATCATCAAACCGAGTTCCCTGCTTCAGATACGGATTTATTTTACATTGAATTGAGAAGGAACCATTTGAAAACGTTTTCATAAATGTCCCCACCGTAGATAAATCCCCAAATCCAGTGTCATGTTCCCAAGGGTCAGTATTTGCATTAGGCTGTATGTATTGATGTAAAATCACTCCTAGGCTCCAGTTGCACGTAATGGCTCAGGAATTCTTTAGGCGTGCAGTGATTGAAGTGCAGTCAGTGGATTCACAGAGCACTGCTTTCAGCTGAGAAGCTTTAGTATTTCTCCCTGTTCATCCAAGGACTGCACTCAGAGCCCTTTAAGCTGCGGTGAAAACATATTGGAAGACCTGATACCTGTTCCCAGACAGCATTAAATTAGTTCGTAGAAAAAGAAGGTAAATCCAAGCAATGCTTGTGTGTTTTTTACTAGACTGCTTGATTGACTCGAGTAGTGTTAAGACAATTTGTGCATCGACTGAGTCATTTTGTGTGTAGGAAATGCCTTACGAGCATTTTGGGGAGTTGAACTGTATTAAAAATGTTGTTTTTCAGTATAGAAAGGTTTGGGGATCCTTGATGTTAGAGATTTGGGAGAGTGCAGTAGGTGATGGGAAGAAATGGTTGAACAAAGTTTAGACAAGAAGAAGGGAAGGGAAGGGTGGAAGAAAACAGACTTCGAAAAAAATACTTCATTCTCACTGTACAGACAAATGTCTTTGAAGAGGCAGCTTTTATGTTACAAGGGCTCAGAGTGGGCACCACTCTGGTAAAAACCAGCTGTGAGCCTTCAAAATGTTATCACCAGTGTCTTAGAGATGCATCTCTCAGCGCTGTACTCATTGCTGAGACTTCTTGGGATAAATGCTTTGTATTTGAAAATAGTATACAATCAATGAAGTCTTCCTCACCGCTCTTTTAGTTTGTAAAATGCTTTTTTTTTTTCTTTAAGTTAGCTGTCGTGTATTTTGGCATGTGGACTTTAGCAAGGCCTTCGATACAGTGTTCCACAGTATCCTCCTGGAGAAACTGGCTGCCCATGGCTTGGATGGGAATACCCTCTGCTGGGTTAAAAACTGGCTGGAGGGATGGGCCCAGAGAGTGGTGGTGAATGGAGTTAAATCCAGCTGGTGTCCAGTCACGAGTGGTGCCCCACAGGATTCGGTACTGGGGCCAGTTCTCTTTTACATCTTTATCAATGATCTGGACGAGGGGATCAAGTGCACCCTCAGTAAGTTCACAGGTGACAAGCTGGGTGACAGTGTCAACCTGCTGGAGGGTAGAGAGGCTCTGCAGAGAGATCTCGACAGGCTGGATCAATGGGCCAAGACCAATGGGATGAGGTTCAACAAGGCCAAGTGTCGGGTCCTGCCCTTGGGTCACAACAACCCCAGGCAGCACTACAGGCTGGGGGCAGAGTGGCTGGAGCTGCCTGGCAGAAAAGGACCTGGGGGTGTTGGTCGACTGTCGGCTGAACATGAGCCAGCAGTGTGCCCAGGTGGCCAAGAAGGCCAATGGTATCCTGGCCTGTATCAGGAGCAGTGTGGGGAGTAGGGCCCGAGAGGTGATTGTCCCCCTGTACTCGGCACTGGTGAGACCTCACCTCAAGTACTGTGTCCAGTTTTGGGCCCCCCACCACAAAAAAGACATTGAGGTGCTGGAGCGGGTTCAGAGAAGGGCAACAAAGATGGTGAGGGGTCTGGAGCACAAATCTTATGAGGAGAGGCTGAGGGAGCTGGGGTTATTCAGCCTGGAGAAGAGGAGGCTGAGGGGAGACCTTATTGCTCTCTACAACTCCCTGAAAGGAGGGTGTAGAGAGGTGGGGGTCGGTCTCTTCTCTCAAGTCACAGGCGACAGGACGAGAGGAAATGGCCTCAAGTTACTCCAGGGGAGGTTCAGGCTGGATATTAGGAAAAATTTTTTCACTGAAAGGGTTATCAGGCATTGGAATGGGCTGCCCAGGGAGGTGGTTGAGGCACCATCCCTGGAGGTGTTCAAAAGACAGGTTGATGTAGTGCTGGGAGATATGGTTTAGTGATGGTGATGCTTCTTGTTTGTTGTGTGGGTGTCTATTTTTGTCAAAATTAGGTTGATGGTTGGACAAGATGATCTTTAAGGTCCCTTCCAACCTAGAAGATTCTGTGATTGTGTGATTTGGGAAGTTCTTATCTTGGAAAAGAATTCCGCTAGCGTGGAGGGAGAGGGGTGAGGTAGAAACCAAAAAAAAAATCATCCTTTTGTTTGGAGTTGTGGCACATTTGCAATAACATCTTCCAGATGGCAGAAGATGCTGTTATGGTATACCTAGTGCTATTATATCTGCTTTTTGTCTAATTAGTTCTGTCGTTAGCTGACTCAAAAGGTATGGTAAAATAAAAAAGCTGAGGTATTAAGAGGCTGCAGTACTGATAAATAGTAGGCTTAAGCCCATAGCCCATAGGTGGGTGGTTTCTTGTGAATGCTGGAGCTGCACTTAAAGCCTGAAGGATCTAAAACTGACTTAGCAAAGAAGGTATGACCTAATTCTTGAAGCTCTGCATTTTTTTTTCTGGGATATTCTACTACTCTGCTTGTTTTAGAAGCGGCAGATGCCTTAAATGTAGAATATTATCTGTTATTTGTGTTTTGACAGTATGGAGGAGAGAATCTAGATGAATTTTGCCATAAGCTACAGTGTTGATTGTCTTCTCTTTTCTCTGAGCTATTGAAATACGGTCGTTAAGTATTTCTTGAAATAAAATTGTGTACAAACAGGGGGCTGATTTCTATGTGGAATTTCACGTGAAGACAGTGGAATTTTCCACCTTGTTCTGGTTTGGGAAAGCATTCAGAAGCTCAAGTGAGACTTCACGTTGATGCTTCGTGAGCCAAGAACTTAGGTTTTATGCATCTGCTGAAAGTATTGCGGTGCTGCTAAAGAAGAGGTTGAGATGTCCCTATAAAGAAGGCTAGATCTATAATTCTGCTGCTAGCTCCTGAAATTGAGCCTTTTCTTGGTATATAATGAAACTGAACTGTGATTCTATAGCTAAAAATTGAGAACCCACTCATTTAGTTACGGTATTAGATAAACCGGACTCCTCATAATTCCAGGAGAGAAGATTTGTTTGCGGGTTGTTGGGTTTTTCAGATAAGCCTTTGTTCTGCTGGATGCTCTTTGTAATCCTGTAGGTCCCCTGGTTGTTTCATTGCTCTTTTTCTCTGTCAACAGAAAATCAATTAAAAATCAAAGAAGAAAAAGAGGAGGTGGAAGAACAATCAATGGAAACGGAAAGCCTTCCTCTTCCTGAAGTCAAAGAAGATGAAAATACGCCAAAAATTGAGAAAGTGGAAGAAAAAGAAATTATAAAATTGCCAGTGATAGTAAAATTAGAGAAACCTTCAGAATACAACGAAGAAAAGCAAAGTGTCAAAGAAGAAAGTGACTCCTTTAAAGAAAACGTCAAGCCTGTTAAAGCAGAGGTGAAGGAAAACAAAATAGAACCGAAAGACTTAAAAGAAGTAAAAAGTTGTACGGACAAAATAGCAGTTCATGAACCAGAGAGGTTAGAATTTTGTGTTAACGTCAAAACTCCCCAAGAAATTGTGGAGAAATCTGTAGAAGAAAGTGAGAAACTTAAAAATGACCAGCAGGCAAAAATACCGCTTAAAAAACGAGAGATCAAGCTGACGGATGACTACGACAGTCCGATAAAGGGGCCTCTGTGTAAATGTGTTACTCCTACAAAGGATGTCTTGAAGGAAGAAGGGAAACCAGAAGAAGAAGCTTTTAAGAGAGTCCCTACAATTACTGCTTTATGTCCCGATGGAAAAGTGCTCGTAAACGGGGAGGTTACCTGTGAAAAAATCACCCCGAGTGTCATACAAAATAATAAGTCGGAACACTCTGCCGGCGCCAAGGAAGACGGTGGCTCCTTAAAAGAGAAAAATGGAAAAAATGGGGAAAAGGTGACAGACTCTGTTAGTAAAATTATAAAAACGTGCGAGGTTGAGAAAAACGCAGTAACTGTGGTGAAGGAGACGGGGGTCGTGGTCTCTGAGGTTTCGAATCAGAAAGTGCCTTCAAAGGAGGAATCTAGTCCTGTGGAAAAAGAGTCCCTCGACAGCACAACTGCTGAAACTGTAGTGGAAGAGTCTTCAAACTCTGAAGACTGTGCCAAAACAACCGAAGAGACGCTAGCCATGAAAATCAAGAAGGACAGACTACCATCACCCAAAGAATGTTTAGAGAATAAGCTAGAGAAGTCCCCAAATGCATCTTCTCCTGCAGAACCGCCCAAGCTCGCGCTCCCCGATGAGGAGACTTTGAAAAGCAAAGGTGAGTCTGAGGAGAAACCCGATTCTCCAAAAGCTGCTGAAACGTCCCCTTCGTCTTCTTCTCCTGTGGCTTTAGAGAAGCCGGTTTTGGAAAAGGAGGGCTTGGATAATAAACCGGCTTTACCCGAGGAGAGCAAAGTAGAAGAAAAATCCAGCCCTGAAAAACAAGAGGAAGAGCCGGAAGCTGCCAAGACAGAGCCAGATTCCTTAGATGATGCTCATGCTTCTAATCTAGAGGACTCCTCAGAGGGTAAAAAGGAATCTCCGCCACCTAAAAGCAAATTTAAATATAAGCTAGTTTCTGAAGAAGAAAGCTGCGCGACAGACAATAAAGAAATAACTTCTGAAAGACAGAAAGAAGGAATTAAATTAACCATCAGGATCTCCAGTCGGAAGAGAAAAGCGGAAACGCCGCCAGAAGAGGTCGGCATCGGCCGCACGTTAAGGCGATCTCCAAGGATATCCAAACCTACTCCAAAAGTTGTGGAGACTCGGGATCAGAAACCTGAGAAAAAACGAGCCGAAGAGGAAGAGGAGAAACCTGCAGCAGCACAAAAACCTGAACGCAAAGAAGATGCGAAAAAACAAGAGAAGGAGTCAAATTCTAAGGTTAACAAGGTAATAACAGTTTATTTCCCAGGAATATAGAGTACCCACGGGCTTATTTATAAGGAGAATATACATTTTACATAGGAATATTGAGAATTTTGTTCCTTTGGTCAGCTTTTGCAAGGAACTGGCTTTGCAGTCCAGGTAGTGACTCAACAAATCTAAAAACATCCCCTAAGAGAGTGTTGACTTAGCAGTTTATAAAAATCTCTCATTTAACCTAAACAAAGTAGAAAGCAAGTCAACCCGAGGGAATTCTTCTAAGAAATGAAATGGTGGGAGCTGAGTCAGTCTAGTGGCTGACCAGAGACTTCCAGCTCCCATGGATTTACTAGGATGGAGACTTGGTGGTGGCTGGTTGGTCAGGATGATCCTAAGCCACAAAGGAACCAAAAAATGGTTAAGAGTCGTAATTAAAAAAAAAAAAAATAAAAAAAAAATTACGACTTCTGTTTCTAGGTGAAGCTGAAGTTATTGTTTTGGTGAGTTTGTGATATAATTTAGCTTTTCTCATACATGGGATATAGATTTTACTTCGGGTGGAGGTGTCTTCTTTCATGATGAACTTTTGCTTATGCAGCCTAGATCTTAAAGGTATGTCAGGTAAATATAACAATAAACAGAAATATATGCATATGGATAGTTTTCTTCGAAGTTTATGTAAGAAAGCAAGTCAACCCGAGGGAATTCTTCTAAGAAATGAAATGGTGGGAGCTGAGTCAGTCTAGTGGCTGACCAGAGACTTCCAGCTCCCATGGATTTACTAGGATGGAGACTTGGTGGTGGCTGGTTGGTCAGGATGATCCTAAGCCACAAAGGAACCAAAAAATGGTTAAGAGTAAAAAAAAAAGATAAATAACAACTTCTGTTTCTAGGTGAAGCTAAAGTTATTGTTTTGGTGAGTTTGTGATATAAGTGAAGCTGAAGTTATTGTTTTGGTGAGTTTGTGATATAATTTAGCTTTTCTCATACATGGGATATAGATTTTACTTCGGGTGGAGGTGTCTTCTTTCATGATGAACTTTTGCTTATGCAGCCTAGATCTTAAAGGTATGTCAGGTAAATATAACAATAAACAGAAATATATGCATATGGATAGTTTTCTTCGAAGTTTATGTAATTATAAACACCTTTTGTTGATTTATCTTCCATTTTTTCTGGATATGGAGTAAAAAAGAGAAACAAGGAACAAAAAGTCTGTATTTTTAAATGCACTCTTTTTATATTAACTTGAAATCTTACTAATTTTTTCACTGCTACACATTTCCTTACTGATTCTTTTGTAATTCTACCAAGACATTCACTTATTTAGCAAAGTTGAATAACCTTCATTAAATGAGCAGCTGATTTTACAATGATTTATAACATTTATACTGAAAAATGGTGTCACAGACACAATGGGGAAAAACTTCAAAGATTAACTTTAAAATTTTCATTCAAAAAATAACTTAAAATCACAGTGATTGTAAGTCCTACGAGTGGTTTTAATTTTGAAGCACTGTCACTAAAGGAGTTTCAACTTAATCTCTTTTTTTTGAAGGATATAGAGCTACAAATACTTCTCTAGAGAGATTTGAAAATAAATATGATAGAGGGAGAAGTGTGAAACTATTTAGCTTGTGTCATTTTATTGAGTTGAAAAATACCCAACTCTTTAAAAGGCTATTTTATATTTGTTTTCTTTGAAAGAAGTGTTTTTTAAAAATAGATTTGAAATGATGATGGCATATGAGGAAACCTAAACTTAAACTAACATAATAATGGATTTAAAGTACATTTGCTACTAAAGTTTAGTGAACAGTAAAAAAGTCAGTAAAGAGCTGGAAATTAATGTTAAGAACCTGAAAAAAATTTTACCAGTCTGAGAAACACTGATGTGGTACGAGTCTGTCCTGCAGGAGAAGTACAATATTTTGCACATTTTAGTTTATTCAGGTCGTTCAGGTCAACGAGTACTTTAGTCAAAGTTGAAAAATGTTTTGAGTTGAAAAAGCTAGGAAAGTTGTTTTGCTTTTTCAGTGTCTGGGGAGGGAAGGAGTTCAGAGACTGTCTGTAAGAAGTCAGTTAATGGGAAGAAAAGTTTCTTCTATTTCAACTGTTCCTTTAGATATAAAATATCGTAGTTGGGTAGATAAAGAAGAGTGTGAGCAGTAGGTGGAGGGAGGTCATCCTGCCCCTCTGCTCTGGCCTGGTGAGGCCCCATCTGGAGCACTGGGACCAGTTCTGGGCTCCCCAGTTCCAGAAGGACAGGGAACTGCTGGAGAGGGGACAGCAGAGGGTCACAAAGATGATGAGGTGCCTGGAGCATCTCTCTGATGAGGAAAGGCTGAGGGACTTGGGTCTTTTTAGTCTGGAGAAGAGAAGGCTGAGATGGGATCTGATCAATGCTTATAAAAACTTAAAGGGTGGGTGTCAGGAGGATGGGGCCAGTCTTTTTTCAGTGGTGCCTGGGGACAGGACAAGAGGAAATGGGCACACACTTGAACATAAGGAGTTCCATCTAAATGTGAGGAGGAACTTCTTTACTTTGAGGGTGGCAGAGCCCTGGAAGAGGCTGCCCAGAGAGGTGATGGAGTCTCCTTCTCTGGAGACATTCAAACCCACCTGGACACGTTCCTGTGCAACCTGCTCTGGCAGGGGGTTGGCCTAGATGATCTCCAGAGGTCCCTTCCAACCCCATATCATTCTGTGATTCTGTGAAAGGAGTTTTAATGAATGCAAAATAATATTCTGAATATTAATCAAAATCTGTTTTTCATTCAAAATATATTTTAAACTAGTAAAACTTACCGCATCTGGACAATAAGAAACGTTGTTTTCCGCTGTGTGTAATAAAGAGGAGGAAAGTCCAAGTAAGTGCCTGGTAAGAGCTGTGGTTGCTTTCCTGAGGTAGATACGATACAGAGGGGGAGATGCTTCTTTGATTAGAAAAAAAAAAAAAAAATCATTTAAAAAAATAAATTAAAATCACAGTGATTGTAAGTCCTACGAGTGGTTCTAATTTTGAAGCACTGTCGCTAAAGGAGTTTCAACTTAATCTCTTTTTTTTTAAGGATATAGAGCTACAAATACTTACTTCTCTAGAGAGATTTGCCAATAAATATGATAGAGGAAGAAGTGTGAAACTATTTAGCTTCTGTCATTTTATTGAGTTGAAAAATATCCAACTCTTTAAAAGACTATTTTATATTTGTTTTCTTTGAAAGAAGTGTTTTTTAAAAATAGATTTGAAATGATGATGGCATATGAGGAAACCTAAACTTAAACTAACATAATGATGGATTTAAAGTACATTTGTTTAGTGACCAGTGACCAGTAAAAAAGTCAGTAAAGAGCTGGAAATTAATGTTAAGAACCTGAAAAAAATTTTACCAGTCTGAGAAACACTGCTCTGGTATGAGTCTGTCCTGCAGGAGAAGTAGAATATTTTGTACATTTTAGTTTATTCAGCTCATTCAGGTCAGTGAGTACTTTAATCAAAGTTGAAAAATGTTTTGAGTTGAAAAAGCTAGGAAAGTTGTTTTGCTTTTTCAGTGTCTGGGGAGGGAAGGAGTTCAGGGAATGTCTGAAGAAGTCAGTTAATGGGAAGAAAAGTTTCTTCTATTTCAACTGTTCTTTAGATATAAAATATCATAGTTGGGTAGATAAAGAAGAGTGTGAGCAGCAGGTGGAGGGAGGTCATCCTGCCCCTCTGCTCTGCCCTGGGGAGGCCCCATCTGGAGCACTGGGACCAGTTCTGGGCTGCCCAGTTCAAGAAGGACAGGGAACTGCTGGAGAGGGGACAGCAGAGGGCTACAAAGATGATGAGGGGCCTGGAGCATCTCTCTGATGAGGAGAGGCTGAGGGACTGTGTTTTTTAAAAATAGATTTGAAATGATGATGGCATATGAGGAAACCTAAACTTAAACTAACATAATGATGGATTTAAAGTACATTTGTTTAGTGACCAGTGACCAGTAAAAAAGTCAGTAAAGAGCTGGAAATTAATGTTAAGAACCTGAAAAAAATTTTACCAGTCTGAGAAACACTGCTCTGGTATGAGTCTGTCCTGCAGGAGAAGTAGAATATTTTGTACATTTTAGTTTATTCAGCTCATTCAGGTCAGTGAGTACTTTAATCAAAGTTGAAAAATGTTTTGAGTTGAAAAAGCTAGGAAAGTTGTTTTGCTTTTTCAGTGTCTGGGGAGGGAAGGAGTTCAGGGAATGTCTGAAGAAGTCAGTTAATGGGAAGAAAAGTTTCTTCTATTTCAACTGTTCTTTAGATATAAAATATCATAGTTGGGTAGATAAAGAAGAGTGTGAGCAGCAGGTGGAGGGAGGTCATCCTGCCCCTCTGCTCTGCCCTGGGGAGGCCCCATCTGGAGCACTGGGACCAGTTCTGGGCTCCCCAGTTCCAGAAGGACAGGGAACTGCTGGAGAGGGGACAGCAGAGGGTCACAAAGATGATGAGGTGCCTGGAGCATCTCTCTGATGAGGAAAGGCTGAGGGACTTGGGTCTTTTTAGTCTGGAGAAGAGAAGGCTGAGATGGGATCTGATCAATGCTTATAAAAACTTAAAGGGTGGGTGTCAGGAGGATGGGGCCAGTCTTTTTTCAGTGGTGCCTGGGGACAGGACAAGAGGAAATGGGCACACACTTGAACATAAGGAGTTCCATCTAAATGTGAGGAGGAACTTCTTTACTTTGAGGGTGGCAGAGCCCTGGAAGAGGCTGCCCAGAGAGGTGATGGAGTCTCCTTCTCTGGAGACATTCAAACCCACCTGGACACGTTCCTGTGCAACCTGCTCTGGCAGGGGGTTGGCCTAGATGATCTCCAGAGGTCCCTTCCAACCCCATATCATTCTGTGATTCTGTGAAAGGAGTTTTAATGAATGCAAAATAATATTCTGAATATTAATCAAAATCTGTTTTTCATTCAAAATATATTTTAAACTAGTAAAACTTACCGCATCTGGACAATAAGAAACGTTGTTTTCCGCTGTGTGTAATAAAGAGGAGGAAAGTCCAAGTAAGTGCCTGGTAAGAGCTGTGGTTGCTTTCCTGAGGTAGATACGATACAGAGGGGGAGATGCTTCTTTGATTAGAAAAAAAAAAAAAAAAGAAGCATAAACTGATTCAGGTTTTGCTTTAGAAAAATTATGGAAAAGTATAAATATGAAAGAAGACCTAGATATAAGTTATGGACTTCAAAGGTGCAGTGAATTTATTTCACTAAAGTGTTCCTGTCTTAGAGGAAAGCACCAGAGATACTTAATATACCTGTTAGAGGCAAGAATAGCTCCTAAAGCAAAATAAAAGCCATAAACTGTACGTGGGGAGGAAAAAAAGAAAAGATTCTCTTTGGATTGAGGAAAGCTGTCCTTAAAAAGTCATAAAATTTAAATGTGGAATTTACCATGTTCACAAGCAAGTTGATCTTGTCAAAATAGAAAAAAAAAAGGGCCCAAAGTGACGAATTTGTCTTCCTACTTTTAAACCATAATTTGAAAGTTTCTCTTTATGAGTAAATGGGAATTTTTCTCCCTTTACTACCCTGTTGCACTTTAAGGCTCTTTGAAAGATTCTCTGTTCGTTGGAATGCTCTGTTGTAAATTTTCTGCATCTGTTCAGCTTGAAATTAATCATTTCACCATAAAGATAGTTTTTTAAGGTGTGGGAGGAAACCCTGTAAGCTCCTTTTGTGTCTTCTCTTTGAAATGGTGTGTCTCATAGAGAAGCAAAGTTCGGTGGACGGGTACGCGGACACGCGGCAGGTGGAAATACTCCAGTAATGAAGAAAGTGAGGACTCAGACAGCGAAAAAAACTCGGAGGAGGAGGAGGAAGAAGAAGAAGAGGAGGAAGAAGAAGCTGCCCCTGCTGATGATGATGAGCCGTGCAAGAAGTGTGGCCTTCCCAATCACCCCGAGCTGGTAGGTGTTTGGGGAAAGCTTCTCTTTGGCTCTTGTGTCAGATGTGGTGGATGGGCTTTGGTGGAACCTGAAGGCACGTGTTCCTTGGAGTTGGCTGCGTGTAGGAGTAGATGAGTTTAATAAGGAGAGAAGGAAGTTATTTCTTCTGTTTCCTGCCTCTGAAATGTCATCTTTTATGAGGTATAAAACAATTTAGCCCATTGGGAATTATTCTGGGTGAGGCTTTGAGGTTGTGTCAGGAATCTCAATGGAAACAGAGGAGACAAGACAGGGAACTACTGGAGAGAGTCCAGCAGAGGCTACAAAGATGATCAAGTGACTGGAGCATCTCTCTTCTGAGGAAAGGCTGAGAGACCTGGGTCTGTTCAGAGGAGAAGGCCGAGAGGGAAACTCATCGATGCTGATCAATATCTAAAGGGTGGGTGGCAAGAGGATGGGGTCAGACTATTTTCAGTGGTGCCCAGTGACAGGACAAGGGACAACGGGCACAAACTGGAACACAGGAAACTCCATCTCAACCTGAGGAGGAACTTCTTCACTTTGAGGGTGGCAGAGCCCTGGAAGAGGCTGTCCAGAGAGGTGGTGGAGTCTCCTTCTCTGGAGACCTTCAAACTCTGCCTGGACACGTTTCTGTGCAACCTGCTCTGGGTGGATTTGCTTTGGCAGGGGGGTTGGACTAGATGATCTCCAGAGGTCCTTTCCAAGCATACTCTCAGGTGTGTGACAGATATCCTTGGGTAGTTGAGACAAAGTTCAAAATTTAGGGTGTTGGAGATGAATATTCCAATAGATACTCACACATCTTATGCCAGCTTTGTCTCTCAGTTTTACTGCAAAGGGATGTCTCCAGCTTTACCCAACTAAGTATGAACTAAGTGTACCTTGAAGACTCTGCAAAGCTTTGTCTCTACCTCCTGGGATGTAAAATTGTCATGATTGAGGACATATGGGGTAAAAATTCACATCTTGTCCAGATGCAGTTCTCCACTTGGGCCAGGATCTGGAAAGCATTACAGAGTCTACATAGTCCAGTAGCACAAAGTGCCTGAGAACACATAATAAAAGGAAATCTGGTGTTAAAATAGAAAACTGTGATACATAAACTTCCCCGTAGAAGCCACCCCTGTCCCTGGCAACATCTAGTGATATGTGATACAGGGAGGTTTTTTTGGGGTTTGGCACAGTCCAGAGTATTTATAATCGCTTCTGTGTTGGCTGGAGAAGCAGTTCTGGAGCTTGTTGTGTGTTACGAATGCCAAAAAGATACTCATGATTGGTTTTGTTTGCACAGATTTTGTTGTGTGACTCGTGTGACAGCGGATACCACACGGCCTGCCTGCGCCCGCCTCTGATGATAATCCCCGACGGAGAGTGGTTCTGCCCACCCTGCCAGCACGTACGGCTCCTGTTCCACCTCCCTCTTCTCCTTCTCAGCTTTCCTTGTGGTTGTGCAGATCCATTGAGAGTTTTAACAAGTTCTTTTATCATTTTTCTGTTAAAAAAAATAAATAGTCTGCGATAGGTTTTAAGGGATGCTCGTCTTCCCTCTTGCCCGTTAGTAAAACTGAATTTTATGAGGTGTTTTTTCTTTTCCCTTTCTTTTTTTTCCTGCTGACGGGTACTTGGGAATCTCCAACCGCACCGGTCTTCTCCCATCTCTGGTTAAATGGCCTCAGGACTAACAGAGTATTAAAAATAATAATGTTTTAATTTTTCCCCAAAGAAACATCCTCCTATCATCCTGGAGGGCTGGGTCAGCGGCCAAAGCAAGTGCTGTTTCTTCTTCAGAAGCTGGTTAGAGAAAGCTGCTCTATCTAACGAGTCTCAGGGTATAATTTGCCCCTGCTGGGAAAGCCAGCCTTGTCCTTGGCAAATAATAAACAAGCACGAACACTTTTTTGAAGGGTAGAAGCTGCTTCTGCCAAAAAACCAACCCCAAACCATACTACACGTGTCCAGTTTCATTTAAAATACATCTAAAATGGCAAGATCTGCAGGGATGGTGTCGGGGAGGATATAAAACCAACCCCAAACCATAGTACACGTGTCCAGTTTCATTTAAAATGCATCTAAAGATCTGCAGGGATGGTGTCGGGGAGGATAAGCCAGAAGAGCGTGTGATGCTCTTCTTCTTAAATGAGCAGGGAACCATTTATGCACGTTTGCAGAATAATCTGCCCGATCCCTTTTAGAAATATTCTTTGCCAAAAGGGCTGTCGCCCTGCAAAAAGGGAAGCCATTTGCAGAATAATCTGCCCCATCCCAAACCCTTTCCTTGCTTTTAGAAATATTCTTTGCCAAAAGGGCTGTCGCCCTGTGAAAAGGGAAGCCACCACTGGCCATGGCTTGTCACGGCTGTACCCAGCGTTGATTTGCAGTTGTTTTCTGAGGAGTGTTTTTAAATAGTGATGATCTTGAATATGTGAATGGTTTTACACTATTTGGGATTGCAGCTTGGAGTCAGAGCATCTCTTTTATTTTGTAATTTATATTCTGTTGCTGCTTAGTAATTCTTCGTCATTTCTATGTTGCTGCTTAGTAATTTTTAATATGAAAAATGACAGATCTGCAAAAGTGGGAAGATTATCCTTGGAAATTGCACGATGAGGGTGTTAATATGGAATAAGGCACACATTTTTACATACAGCTCCTTGAATATTAAGTGGTGGGGTAAGATATGGAACATTTGGTAAGAAAATGATGCTGAAGTGTATAAACTTTTTACTGCTGTGTCCACAGACTTGTGTTTTCCAAAGATTAAGGACAGACAGGTATCACTCTGTGTGTAACACCCCCAGCTTTCTCTGTGTGTATTATGTGTGTCTCTGAAATCCTCACGTTTCTCTGAGACGAAGGTGTAAATACCAACAAAAAAGCAGTATTAATTTAGAACTATGTTTATTCTAAACATCTTTAATACTTGCTTTAGGCACATTGCTTCCTGCAGTAAATGCCAGTTATTGGGAGGATGCACCTCTCTGGCAGTTCACAGGGAAGCACCTGTATTTTAGGAAAACCAGTCTTTGCTGTAAAGCCTTGTTCATCAAAGAGGACACCCCCAGTGTAGCAACACACTCGCCCTTCTTCCAGACAAATCTAGAAATAGTGAATCAAGTTCTCTGAACATTAGTTGGACACGACAATAGGTGGTGATGAAATAAACTAATATTGTGTTTTGTTCTCTTAGAAATTACTCTGTGAGAAATTAGAAGAACAGTTACAAGATCTGGACGTGGTCTTAAAAAAGAAGGAGCGCGCGGAACGCAGGTACCATCGCTTGGTTGCATTCTCAGCAGGGGGGCAGTAATGACTGGGTGGGCTTTCAGATAACTGGGGACTGGGGGAAGGAAAGTAGCAACGAGACTGGGAATTGGTAAAACCAGTTTTGACTTCCCACTGGTTACCGTAGAGCTTGCAAGAAGGGAGAAAAAGTCTGCTAATTGGAAAAAGATAAGCGAATCTGTATTTGTATTAAGCTTTGCTTAAGGTGCCTGAAAACACATTTGGCTTTTCTATACCAGTAGGGAAATGGTTTTCAGCACAGCCGTGCTGTAAGCGAGGTTAACTCCTGACTTTGGTACAAAGGTTACCCAGATTCATGTGGTTTTTGAGTCTTTTTGCTTTAAATTCTGTTAAATTTTGCCGAATTTACCAGATGATGCAATTGCTGGTGTGGATGGATGAGCTAAATCACCATTTACTGCTTCCAAAGGCTAAATGCAAACCCATTTACTGCGTTTATAAACAGCATCCTTAATATTTGGAACATCCCATCTGCAGTTTTCAGACCTGCAAATGAGGGCCATGAAACACAAGTCTGCATAATTTATACCTTTTAGGACATATATTGAGTACTTTGCAAAACGTAATAACGTCTGTATGCATTATTAAAGAAAACTTTGCATGAATTGGATCTTAAAAGGCAAATTTCACCAGAAGGTGAGACCCTTTTAAAGAAAGTAATTGAGCAGGTTTATATTTGCAGCAGGGACAGTGATATCACATGGGATGCAGTGATTTGGTGCTGGGATGAGCAGAGCACAATCGCTGTCTGTTTTCATAGAATCTTTGAGGGTGGAAAGAACCTTTCAGGTCATTGAGTCCAACTGTCAGCCCAACACTGACAAAATCATAGAATCATTCAGGTTGGAAAAGACCCTTGGGATCATCGAGTCCAACCATCTACCCTACTTTACAAAGTTCTCCCCTATACCATATGCCCGAACACCACATCTAAATGACTCTTAAACACATCCAAGGATGGTGTCTCAACCACCTCCCTGGGCAGCCTATTCCAATGCCCAACCACTCTTTCTGTGAAGAATTTCTTCCTGATGTCCAGTCTAAACCTACCCTGTTGCAGCTTGAAGCCATTCCCTCTCATTCTATCGCTAATTACCTGTGAGAAGAGACCAGCACCAACCTCTCTACAATGTCCTTTCAAGTAGTTGTAGAGAGTGATGAGGTCTCCCCTCAGCCTCCTCTTCCTCAAACTAACCAGTTCCAGCTCCCCCAGTCCCTCTTCATAAGATTGATGCTCCAGGCCCTTCACAGCTTTGTTGCCCTCCTCTGTACCTGCTCCAGCACCTCGTTATCTCTCTTGGATTGGGGGGCCCCAAACCATCACTAAACCATGTCCCTCAGCACCACGTCTGCCCGGCTTTTAAATACCGCCAGGAACCGCTTCCCTGGGCAGCCTGGTCTTGACAGCCCTTTCAGGGGAGACATTTTTCCAAATATCCATCCTGAACCTTCCCTGGTGCAACTTGAGGCCATTTCCTCTTGTCCTATCATGTGTTCCTTGGGAGAAGAGACCGACCCCCCCTGGCTACACCCTCCTTTCAGGGAGTTGTAGAGAGAGAAGGTCTCCCTTCAGCCTCCTTATCTCCAGGCTGAACACCCCCAGCTCCCTCAGCCTCTCCTCACCAGACTTGTGCTCCAGACCCCTCACCAGCTCCGTTGCCCTTCTCTGGACATGCTCCAGCCCCTCAATGTCTTTCCTGTCCTGAGGGACCCAAAACCGGACACAGAACTTGATGTGAGGCCTCACCAGTGCCCAGTACAGGGGGACAGTCATTGTCCTTGTCCTACTGACCACACTATTGCAGGCCAGGATGCTGTTGGCCCTCCTGGCCACCTGGACACACTGCTGGCTTATGTTCAGCCAGTTGTTGGCCAACATCTCCATGTCCTTTTCCCCCAGGCAGCTCCAGCCACTCGTCCCCAAGCCTGTAACAAAACTTCCTTCAAATCTCCTGGTTGTTATTGCTGTTGCAGCAGCAACAAATGACAGTGACAGATCAGGTACCAACTGTTCCCAGTGTTGCTGCTTCTGCTCAGAGATCCAGATCACACCACGGTAAAATTCTCCAAATTCTACTGAATTTGCAGCTTTGGGAACGAAACTATTAGCTATTTTTATGAGCGAGCTCAGCTTACACACAGGCTCCATCTGTGCAGGGCACGAGGGAACAGTGTCTGCTGCTCTGCTTTATGGTGGGAAAGCTCATTACTAATGAGCAATATTTTTGGACCCATTTTGGTAAATATTCCACTGGCAAACACTTCATGGAACTCAAGCTTTTCCCCTGATTGTCTTGCTTTCTTGAAATCACCGGTGTTGCATAAAAATACCATCTTTTAAGGGTTACAGGAGAGCATACAATTGCTATTCCAGCACTTTGCAGGGTCTGAAACAGATGTTTAACAACCATTTTGCAATCTGATCCTCATCTCAAACAAACCTGATCTTTTGTATTGTATATCATAAGACTGATTTATTTTTGAGTCTCTTAAAAAGAGAAAAGAGCTCAGGTTATAAAAGTCTTCATGATACAATACAGTTGGATATTGAAGTCTTCCAGCTTAACTGGGGCACATTTTAGCAAACTGCAAGGTAAAAAAGCTGAGGAATTATAATGCTAAAAGAAATGATAGTCCTTACAACAGCTCGGTGTGGAAATTAAAGCAGGTTGGTTGGGTGGGGCACAGAAATGCTTTAATGTAATGTTTCTGTAAAATCACGGTACGTATTATCTGTGAGAGAAGAAAATCAGCTCTTATGGTGGGCACACACATTTAATCAATTCTTTGAACCATCATTAATTATCGTGCTTTTTGAACTGTTGACACTGTCAGGCTCTTCCAACTATTCTTCAACTTTCAGGAATCCAATTGGAATTGCTTCAGCTGCTCAGATACATTCTTATGTGTCCCCAAAGCTTTATGTCACAGCCTTTTTTTTAATGAAAACTTTAGGTTTCATGTTGACCTACAAATACGTAGATCAAAGTCAGACCTGTTTGGGTTTCCCCCCCCCGCCCCGTTCATGAATACAAGGTGCTACCACAACAACCTGGCTGAATTTTGGGTTTTTTATGTACACACTAACTTCTATAATTGTGTCCTACCACCTGCTAGAGTGAGTGGGCATTAAAGCTTTTATGGATTCCTCTTTTAGTTAATGTTAGAGACCTTCTGACTCCTTGATAGGAACTCATTTTAGGGACCATTGTCTGCTTCTCCCAGGCCAAATCAGGTGGAGTAAGTACTTCTCATCCACACTTCCAGGACTTCCCTGTAGTAATTTGCAGAGCCACTTAACATGAGAGAAAATGTCTTCTGGATTCATCTTGGAAGAGTTTATAACCAGTCGGTGCTTATCTGCACCCACCGCTGGAGACCTGTTGGTCCAGATGTTTAAACTATTGGGTTAAGTGTTGAGTTTCTGTGTGCTACCCATGAATAAGGAATGCATCTGATACTTCATTTTACATTTCTTAAAAGACCTTTACGTCACCAGGATTGGCTTGTTTCCTTTGCTGATTTCTTAAGCGGTTTGTGCTCAAGCAGAGCTTGAAAACCTCACTGATCTGTGTAAAACCAGCTGAATTTCTCTCATCTCTCTTGTCTCTTGACAAGAGAAGTGGAGGAAGCTATCAAAGACATTTGCTGAATACTAAAAAATTTACCTTTCTAGTTCCTTTCTCATTTTAGCAGCGGCATTCCTTGACTTAAGATGCTATTTTAATTCATTATCAAGAGCGTAGTGATTTTGCACAGTGTATGACAAAATTCTCCATCATCCAGCCAATCTCATGGTGCTCAGATGGATGAAGAAGGCTTTTTTGTTCCATCAGTTTGGAGAACTGACATTACGAGACAAAACCAATTACTGGTTTACACAGCCAGTGTGGCTGATTGAGGCTCTTTAGCTCAGGGACCCGGAGATCAGGGTTGGGTCTTGCATGATCTTATCTCAGCTCTAACGACGTTTCACTGGATCCTGAAAGTTGGCGGTCTGTTGGCAAAGGTCTAGTTCATACATTTTCCCCCCAGCAGGATTGTTCTTCAGAGTGTATGGTCTAAAATACTGTTATTCACAATAATTTTAAAATCTTTAGAGATGTGGCTTGCATTTAGAGGCGTTGCAGAGCCAAATAAATCCTAGAATCATAGAAATGTTGAGGTTGGAAGGAACCTTTCAGATTATTGAGTCCAACCATCAATCTAACACTGACAAAATCATCATTAAACCATGTCTCTAAGCACTGTGTCAACCCGTTTTTTTAATACCTCCAGGGATGGTGCCTCCACCACTTCCCTGGGCAGCCCATTCCAAGGCTTAATAACCCTTTCAGTGTCCAGTTTTTTTCCTAATATCTTCATTTGTTTAGATTATCCCTTGTTTTCCTTGAAAAAGGCTAGTAGGAACCTAAGGTGATGGTAGTTTGGTTACCCACTCCGGTCTGGTTGAGTACCTGGCTGTTCTTCCTGACAGAGAGCACCCTGGAAGTGTGAGGGTACCCAAGGCATCTCGAGGTGGGACTGACAGGTAGGACAAGACCTGTAGGACACTTGTGTCCTGGCAGAGGGTGTCCAGGAGCCAGGGTTGTGCCCAGGGCAATTCAGATGATGCAGGATGCTAATGTCAAGGCAAGAGAAATGTCAACTTGAATTTTACTTACTTTGATTTAGTTCTGTAACAAACTGTGGACAAGGAGGACAGCCTACTTCTCCTTACAAGTGTTGTTCCTTTATTTGAGTTCTGTTCTCTCTCCCATCTTCAGTCTTGTGTTCTCTAGCCCAACCTAAGCCCTATTTTCAGCCTTTCTCACCAGGCCATGTCTGCTGCTCTCCCGTAACTCATCCTGGCTGGCTCTCAACTCTAAGAATCATAAAATTGTCTAGGTTGGAAAGGACTTTTCAGATCATTGAGTCCAGCCATCAACCTAACACTGTCAAAAACTATCACTAAACCACATCTTTAATCACTATGTCTGCCTGTCTTCTAAATGCCTCCAGGGATGGTGTCTCCACCACTTCCCTGGGCTGGCAGCTGGATCCCATCTTTCTTGAAGTATGTGTGGTGCCCAGATGGCACCAAATACTCCAGCTGGGTGTGAACAGGGCTGACTTTCAGTTGTCCTGTCCGTTGTTCTGCTCTTCACCCGTCCATCTGTCATCATGGTTGTTTCCCCAGGAGCTCAGCTCTCTTGATCTTTGTTCAGGCTCTTCTCCTCCAGTAAAGAATTGCTTTGTAGGTGCTTATTTGTTCCCTGGTGTTTCTAGACTTGATTGTTCCTGCTCGAGCCTAAACTCTGGCACTTGTCCATGTTGGATTCCATCCCATCTTTGTGTAATTCTTCCAGTTCAGTGTGATTTTGAGCTCCTGTTTTATCTTCCAGCACCTCTAAGGTTGGTGGTAGTTATGGATCTGGCAGTTATGTCAGATCTGGTAGTTACGGATCTTGATCACAACGTTATTATTTTTCAGTTTCTTTTTAATTGCTTTTTACACCCCGATTCAGTCCTTTCTGTGGTGCCCTCAATCTTCAAGTGCTGTTGTTTGTCGGAACTCCTTGGAAATCTCTTACATTATGCATGCAGGGAAATGTAATCATGTGAGATTTAGCACATAATTCCTACTAAAATAACTGTTTTTGGCTGGAACATCCTCTTGGGATGCTCCTGCTTAGCAATAGTAAGAACTTCAAATGTATTTTTCCATATCTCCAGTCTTGCTGTAAGCTTATTTTTGTTTTTTTTTTTCTCTCCTAAAGAAAAGAACGATTGGTGTATGTGGGTATCAGTATTGAGAACATCATTCCACCTCAGGTAAGTTACTGCATTTTATTATTGCTTTATTTTCCAAACTTCTCTGGGAAGAAGTTTTTCAGGGGCACATTAGAAGCAGCATCTTAGAAAAATCAATCCATGTGCGGGTCAGAAATCATTCTAGACCTTTCGTTTTAGACCAAGATTGAATTTAGCAGAGAAACCAAGGGAGTTTTATTGTGTTTATTAGAACCAGCTGGTGCTGAACAGAGTCCTCTGGCAGGGAAGGAATCCCCTCCCTGCTCATTTCAGTTGGGTTTTGAGCAGAGTGCTCTAAATTCTGTAGTTTATAAAGGTGGGATTGAGTTTATTTCATTCTGGTGTGGGCTGTTCTCTAGGTCTGAGCTAATTGTTGTAGCTTTCCTTTGGAAACAAATGCTTTCTGGCTTATGATTCAAAGGGAATTTGTAGTATCTGTTAGAAGCATCACATTTGCCTCTGACAAATGTGTCTTGAAGTCACATGTGGTTCAAAACTATAAACATTTAGTGTTTTATTAACAGCTGCTTTTATATTGTTTCCCTTTACAGAAGAGGAAAATGTTTTTCTTCATGCGGGGAACAGCCTCTTCTCACTTCTTAAATACACTTTAAAGTGATTCTCTTGAAGTCTTAGCCAAATGCCTGCCTCCCAAATTGTATAATCTGTTCCTTGCATGAGAGTTTAAAATGAAGCCTTTGTTTGTTTTAAACGTAGACTTTCCACTCTGCCTGACTGTAATGAAGCCAGCTTTCTCCCCCTGTCTCTGGATAACAGAAAAATGATAACAGATTTTACAAACTTGCAAAAGAGTCTCTGGCTGGGAGCAAATATTTGAAAAATTCAGCCTGGGGGTAGATTTATTTAATTTTTTTAAATGAATAGCTTGGAAAAAAGAATATAAAATTAATCTGTGTGGATCTTTATTGAAACCACACCAAGTAAAGGAGTCCCTGTGCTCAGTTTATAGAGATACCAGCAACAAGTTGTTCAGCTGCTGTGTTTACTGGTCCTGGGGGTGTCACTGGAGGCATCACCTTGGTGGTGTGTTATAAACACGATGATACAACAGCCTGAACCCTCAAACTCTGTATTTTTGAATGTCTGTAGCCCCTGAGGGAAACATGTGCAAGTGTTCACCTGAGCTCTGCTGCAGCAAGAGGCAAAAAGGCGGCGTGTTGGGCATTTGAGCTTCTAGATCGTGTGGATATCTCTATCGTGAGCTCGGCCATGAGTGTGGGAGGAAAGGGGAGATAAAGCTTTTTGACATCTCTGGTTTATGTGAACAGGAGCCAGAAATACCTGAAGGTCAGGAAGAAAAGAAGAAAGATTCCAAAAAGCCAAAATCGAAGCTGCTGGAAAGGAGGTCTACCAGAACCCGAAAATGCATAAGCTACAGGTCAGTGGCTTGATTAAATGGCTTGTAAAACTAAAAAAAGCAGTTTTCTTTCTCAGGCAGCTCACCACTTCTCACACAGGTTTCTATATTTAAAAGAGAGGCCAAACTAAAGTGTCTTTGCTCTTTTCTCTGTTAGGCTTGGTGGTTGCAAAAGCAAACGAGGTGGTATAACGAAGGGACGATGCATAAAAGAAATACAAAGTAGACGGGGAAGGTTTGGGTGTTGGTGCAGTTTCTGGAGTAAGTTAAAGCAGGTGAATCACACCTCTGCTCTCTGCTGAAAGGGAGGCTTAGGCTTGTGTCTAAAGGCTTTAAATTCCTCTCTTTCCCTCTGCCCTTATGGCTTCTTCACATGAGAGGGGCACGGAAATTAAAATGCAATTATGAGACAGGATGCCTAAAACTGGTCTGTAACTCTTTAGAGAAATTGTGATTAAACCTGCGATTAGTAAATTAAAATTCCAAGCTATTTAGACTCTCTGCATTCTGAAAGTAGAACAGGTCACTAAAGTTTCCAAAATTCAGCCTGATCTTAAGATTACCTTTTGTTCTCAAGTGTATCACTAAGGTGTTTTATAAACTATTCTTAAATAAAATCTTGAGATGCTCTGTACCCTCTTCAGTCCAGCAGGCAAGGGGGCTTCCTTTGGGGATTAGAGAAGAATGTGGTTGCCGGAGAGCTTGTGGGTTTTTTGTCCCAGCTGCATTAGGAATTAAAACACCAGAAGTATTATTTTCCTGTATTAGCTCGGTGTAGACCTTTATCATGAAAAATTAGAACGTTACAACTTTGAAAACCTTCCAACCTATGATTAAATGCCCAGTCAGCCTGGTTTTGCCATTGAGGGGAGGCAGGGTGTTTGTATATGTTGAATTTTCCTGCCTGATTGGAAAACTCAGTCTGACCTTGCTTAGCTGTTGATTTTCTGTAACTTTTTAAATTACCAGCAGGAGTCACACTAACGAAAATGCCATTGCTGCTTCGGGAAATGAAGTATTTCTGTAAGGAACGTTGTGGCCCGGGCAAGATGATATAGATTTGCTCTTATGCTCATGACAGGTCAGGCAGCATCTCACCAGGAGAAGAAAAATCCCTTCCCTGTAGGGTGTCTGGCACAACTTCAGCAGGACACATGTTGTGCAAAGTGATTTTTATTGGGAATAATGTTTTGTAGAATTATAGAATGGTTTGGGTTGGAAGGGACCTTTAAAGATCATCCAGTTCCAACCCCCTGCCATGGGCAGGGACACCTCCCACCAGACCAGGTTGCTCAGAGCCCCATCCAGCCTGGCCTTGAAGCCCTCCAGGGATGGGGCAGCCACAGCTTCTCTGGGCAACCTGTTCCAGTGTCTCACCACCCTCACAGCAAAGAATTTCTTCCTGAGATCTCATCTCAATCTTCCCTTTTTCAGTGTAAGTCCATTACCCCTCATCCTATGGCTCCACTCCCTGACTAAGTGTCCCTCCCCATCTCTCCTGGAGCCCCTCCCCTGTTTGATATAATGTTGTTCTATAAAAAAAAAATCAATCTTCTGATACAAAATGATAGAGTCTTCCTTACAGACTCCATCCCACACCTAACTTTGAGCTGGTGAAAATATTCCAGGTGTCACCGTCTCACTTCAAATTTATGGATCCGCGGTGAAGTCCTGCTGGTGTCACTGGGGGACAATCAGTGCTAAACTGCCTAACTTTGAGCTGGTGAAAATATTCCACGTGAAGTCCTGCTGGTGTCACTGGGGGACAATCAGTGCTAAACTCCTTAATTCTGCTCACGGAGGAGTCTGTGTTGTGTAGCACCTGGTCTCTAAAGATACATCATCCCTTTTTATCACCCAGGTGGTCTGCGGAGTCCTCCTGTGATGAATAAAGCAGCAGCAGAAACGACGTTCCCTTAAACCTAAGGGACAAGCAGCTGTCGGCTCGGGTTATTTGTTAGCAGGGATTTGAAAGCCTTAAGTGATTTCTCACATTTTAAAGAGTTTGGGGGTTGTTTTTTATTTTTTTTTTAGAGGTGTGAAGGGAAACCAGTGTTTTTGAGTAACGTGGAACTGATCTTCCTAATGGAATAATTTCTGAGTTATTTCCCTGCTGCGTAAAGCTTCCTCGAACGCGACGTGTGGTTATAGGTTATAGGGAATATGAAGAGACCAGAAATTCATCATCTTATTTTTAAAGGAGAAAATGTTTTGTTCTTCCTATTGGAATATAGAATTATATTAGATCTATTTTCTTGTTCTGCTGGAGGTTACTATAAAGGACCAAGATAAATCTAAGTGTAATCTTTCTTTTGTGGCTGAGAAACCGAATCTTTAATGAAAGTATTATCCAATTGTTAGTAGTTTGTATCTAAAAAAATACTGAAAAACCTACTTATTTAAAAATGAGAAGAAGAAAGGCTCGCATCTAAAGGAAATGTCTTTCCTATATAGTTAATAAAATTTGGACTTTCGCATGTTGCATCCCCAGGGATTTTAAAAATGAGAAGAAAAACTCGCATCTAAAGGAAATGTCTTTCCTATATAGTTAATAAAATTTGGACTTTCGCATGTTGCATCCCCAGGGATCTATTTGGTGATAGAGGTAACAATCTTTTTTTAATGGGATTTGAATTCAGAACTGAAGAAACCAACTGAAGTCATTGGTGTAAAAGGGTTGGATCCTTTTTCCTCCAATTGCTGATCCCTTTAAATGAGTTGCTCAGTGTGCAGAGGCTTACGTGGTTTTATAAAAGCTGCTGCAGCACAAACTTACTCAAATATTTTGCTTTTGTTTGTGCTATTTATTTATGTGATACTACATTATAACTTATCTGTATATGTGTGTGTTTTCTCTCCCGTGTACAATATGTTGTATCTGTTCAGCGTGACATTACATTATAACTTACCTGTATATGTGTGTATTTGTCTCTCCCTTGTACAATATGTTGTATCTGTTCAGCTTGGGGTGTTGCAGATCCAGAAAGAATAATTCCTGTGAGCTTTAAGAGGAGAAAGAAATGTTATGTGATACTACATTATAACTTATCTGTATATGTGTGTGTTTTCTCTCCCGTGTACAATATGTTGTATCTGTTCAGCTTGGGGTGTTGCAGATCCAGAAAGAATAATTCCTGTGAGCTTTAAGAGGAGAAAGAAATGAGTTTTCAAAGGGAAATTAGACAGGATGAATAATTTGACTCTTAATAGGTGCTTTTCAGAAAGTCTGTTTCGCAGATTGGTGGTGTGTATGTCAGCTAATAAAAGGTGGGGGAAAAATGACTAATACTTTGTGTGAAAAACGCCACCGATACCATCTTAAAATCTAATAAAAGGTGGGGAAAAAATGACTAATACTTTTTTGTGAAAAACGCCACCGATACCATCTTAAAGAGCTTTCAAATTATAGATATTGTTAAACTCAGGGGTATGTCATGTAAAATCCAAGCGGTTTTCTGTTGCCATGAATCAATAGTAAGAGAGGCAGGCAATGACAAATAATCTGCTAGCGAGCAGAAATAAGAAACACACCTTTTAAAAAATGGCAATTTTATCATCAATCCAGCCCGTTATCTCTGTTATTTTATTATATATCCAGCCCAGGGGGGTTTCTTCGAGCAGTTTTAAAATTTGAAGATATTTCCTAATATAATAATGAGGTTTTCGTAATGCCATTTTAATTAGAGTTGGCTTCAAAATGGTAAATGAAAGCTGTTACTTTTAGGTTTGATGAATTTGATGAGGCAATTGATGAGGCCATTGAAGATGACATCAAGGAGGCTGATGGAGGAGGTATGTTTCTGATGTTATTTGTTTTTTCATTGCAATGATGAGAAGATCGAGACCAAATTTATTTTGATACGAGAAGCGACAAATATAATCCTCTCCCTTGAACTTTGCAGTTTAGAGTTTTTACTGCTGCATTTTTGGAATCAAACTAAATCATTTCCCTTGGGAATGACCATCCCGGGCAGCCAAAATAAGTATTTGGTCTTGATAGTTACATTCAGCTTGTACGTATTTTGGTCTATGAATGCAACGAATAAGCATGGCAAGAAAACTCTTAAAATTAATTAATTTGCTAAATTTTGGATTTGAGATTGGAATGAACAAATTACATTTGTCCCGTGGAAAAATTTGACTCATAAATTGATCCACAGTTGGACCTCCAAAGACTGGGTCTACAAAGTCATCTGAAAAATATTAATCCAGATCTATCAACACTTCTCAGTTGTATGGGAATAAAGTGAAATTATGTTCTTTGTTGCCTGTTATGGCAACAAAGGAGAGATCTTCAGCAGCATGTGGGAGATGTAGATGGAATCTGTGCTTCTGCATCACCTTAACTTGCCTGGAGGCAACCATCATGAAATGCTCTTCCTCTGTTCTTTGGCTTTTGGGACCTTCATAAGACACCAGCTGTGAGCAGCTCGGTGGGTCTGCACAGACAACCTGAAAATTGGGTGTATTTTCTATATCTGCCCTCTCAAAAGGCACTGACATTGGTCATAATGTGGGTTGGGGTTGACACATCCACTGTCTTCTCCATGGATCACATGTATTTCCAAGTGACCACAGCTGGAGGATGTGTGTCAGGAACAAGACTCCAGACAGGGTCCTCCATGACAAAAAATACTCTGAAAATTTATTTTATTTACTGAAAATAAAGTGAAGCTGGGGAGGCACGGAAGAAAGATGTGTATAAAATACAACATAAAAATAAACTTGCCTTTTTCCCCCCCTTTTTATCGTTGAATTCAGGCATTGGCAGAGGCAAAGACATGTCTAATATCACAGGTCACCGTGGAAAAGACATTTCCACCATCCTGGAGGAAGAAAGGAAAGAAAACAAGCGACCCCAAAGAGCTGCTGCAGCGCGACGCAAGAAACGACGGCGACTAAACGACTTGGACAGTGACAGTAACCTGGATGAGGAGGAGAGCGAGGATGAGTTCAAGATCAGTGATGGGTAGGTCTGGAAATTAATTGCCATCATCAGTCACGGGCTGCTCTGGGCTCCCATGACTCTGCAGTGTCCCTAAAACCATCGTTAGGAGCACGTGCCCACTGCTGGAACGTCACCGCACGGTGCCAGCAAAAGTCCTCCTGGCCTGGGGGCAACGTCATTGTCCTGGAAAAACCACGCTCTGGATCCATGCTCTGAAATCATCCAATCTGTATTTTAAGCAAAACGGTGTGGAAATGTTACTGGTGTGTTGGAGACCACGGTGTGGGGCTCTAAACACGGGTAATGTTAGCGAAGGAGCCAGATGGGCTCAGTTCTGTGACTGATGTGACCATCTAGCAGAGATCCCTCACAAAGATGGAGCTTAGATGAGGCTGGTGGCTTCCTTTTTGTCCTGGTTTGTGCGATTTTTAATGGGCCTGATTCTCATTTAGAAATTAGAAGAGTAAAATGTCCCTGTTTAGAGCGTACAGAACTCGACGTGCTGGTACTGAAACCAATTCTGGCTTTCTGCTCCCTGGGAGACAGGATTTGAAAACAGCCAAAGGAGTGGTTTATAGTGTAGGAAACAAATATGCATCATGGGAGGCTTTGAACACTAAATAAGTATTGCTCTGGCCAACTAAAACTCTCTTTTCATGGAATTTTCTCATTGTTCAGTCTGGGGAATTTGTAATGTTAAAAAAAATGAATAATTAATTTTAGACATCCTTTATCATTGATTAGGGGCCTGGAGCATCATTGACCGCATCACGGGAGGCTTTAAACGCTAAATAAGTATTTCTCTGGCCAACTAAAACTCTCTTTTCGTGGAATTTTCTCATCGTTCAGTCTGGAGAATTCCTAATGTTAAAAAAATGAATAATTAATTTTAGACACCCATTATCATTGATCATTGATTAGGGGCCTGGAGCATCATTGATGAGGGGCCTGGAGGATCTCTCTGCTGAGGAAAGGCTGAGGGACTTGGGTTTTTCTGGTCTGGAGGAGAGAAGACTGAGGGGGGATCTGATCAACACCTATAAATACTTAAAGGGTGGGTGTCAGGAGGATGGGGCCAGTCTTTTTTCAGTGGTGCCCAGTGACAGGACAAAAGGAAACGGGCACAAACTTGAACATGGGAAGTTCTACCTAAACATGAGGAGGAACTTCTTCACTTTGAGGGTGACAGAGCCCTGGAAGAGGCTGCCCAGAGAGGTGGTGGAGTCTCCTTCTCTGGAGACATTCAAACCCACCTGGACACGTTCCTGTGCAACCTGCTCTGGGTGGACCTGCTCTGGCAGGGGGTTGGACTAGATGATCTCCAGAGGTCCCTTCCAACCCCATAGCATTCTGTGATTCTTTGTGATTCTGTGATTTATGCCTCAGTGAAGAAACATAATGGAGCATGAGGTCTAAGCTCTTTACCATCAACATTTAAAGCTTTACACCAGTTACTTGGTCAATTTAGTAAGGGTATGGATAATCTGTGTGACACACATGCAAATTTTGAGCTTTGCTTTTCACCTGTAGCCACGCTGAGGCCGTTTCAGTGACACCCTGAAGAGCTGAGCTAAACGTGCTGGAAATTCCTAATGGATGAGTGTCGCTTGTGGAAACCTCCCTGAATTAATAGCGCATCGATCTGTTCGAGTGCGCTTGGGCATTTTCAACTCCATCCTCTGCTGAATGTCTGCTGGATGTTGGACTGGAATTCACATCCAGCTGATGTGCAAGTGACAGAATCACAGAATCTTCTAGGTTGGAAGGGACCTTAAAGATCATCTTGTCCAACCATCAACCTAACTGACAAAAATAGACACCCGCACAACAAACAAGAAGCATCACCATCACTAAACCATACCTCCCAGCACTACATCAACCCGTCTTTTGAACACCTCCAGGGATGGTGCCTCAACCACCTCCCTGGGCAGCCCATTCCAACGCTTAATGACCCTTGCAGTGTAAAAATTGTTTCTAATATCCAATCTGAACGTCCCCTGGTGCAACTTGAGGCCATTTCCTCTCGTCCTGTCACCTGTGACTTGGGAGAAGAGACTGACCCCCACCTCTGTACACCCTCCTCCACCACCATCAACCCAACGTGGACAAAAAAACACCAGTAACCCATGTCTCTAAGCACTGTGTCAACCCATCTTTTTCCTGCTCCCTCAGCCTCTCCTCACCAGACTTGTGCTCCAGATCCCTGACCAGCTCTGTTGCCCTTGTCTTTCCTGTCCTGAGGTCCCCCAAACCAGACACAGTACATCTCACAGCATGTACCACTTGTCAAATGCAGGTACCGTACGACCCTTTGTTCCCGGTATCTATCTCTGTGATCTATCTCTCTTTGAACAGATCTCAGGACGAGTTTGTGATATCAGAGGAGAATCTGGATGAAAGTGAAGATGACCCACCCTCGAACGAAGACAGCGATTCCGAGTTCTGCGCCCGCATATCCAGGAGACACCTCTCCAGGCCCATGAGGCAAAGCAGGAGGTTACGAAGGAAAACAGTCAAGAAAAAATATTCGGAAGATGACGAAGATGAAGATTCCGAGGACAATTCAAGCAGAGAATCTGGTGAGTGGAAGACATCTTAGATACATTAAATACTCTGTCCTGGGGAAGTCTGTTTCCTGTCACAACTGACACACGTTTGCTTGCTTTGGTAGAGTCAGATGTCATCTTTGCTGTAAAGCAGTTTGCTCCTTGTTCTGCTGTGAATATTCTGCAGCAAACTGTTGTTGAGTACTGGGTTCTGGGCATTTTAAGCAATTATGTATTTAAAAAAATGCTATGTTTTCAATATCCACTATTGTGGATAGTTCCAGCTACCCTGTACCCCTGCCTGGTATGTGATTGTAGGGAAGAGAAAGGATGGAGGCAAAAAGTGTATTTCTTTATAGCTCCTTCCAACACCTTCCTAATAACTTTGAAAAAGCTTCTGAAATAAACATTTTCCCTCACTTCATACAGAATAAAATTCCTTCATTTTATGGCATTCTGTGTCCTCTGGCAGGCCCGAAAGCAAACGGTAACACCTTGAATCTCTCCCTTTTACAATTATCCTTTTTGATCTTTAGTAACTGAAGACTCTGGTTTCACAGGAGAAACCTAATAATTCACTTTATTTTACTCGTCCTTCAACCGGTTACTTTTCTGTTCGCACAGTCTGAGGTGTGAGAACAGTCCCCGTGTGACACTTCCACCTTTTCCTGATGAGCTTCTTTCCCTGAATAGTGTCCTCCTTGTTTCTGCATCGAGACTCAGGCCTGGAATGTCGCCAAATACAGAAGCACTTATTTTTACTTATTTTTATTGTGAATCTAAAGTACTAAGTACCCTGAGCATTAACTTACTGCAGTGTGTGTTACCTCTCCAGTGTTTGATGTGTCTCTCAAGAATATAGATGATGAACATGATGGAGTATTCAGCATGTCCATGAGCCAGCAATGTGCCCTTGTGGCCAATGGCATCCTGGGGGGCACCAGGAAGAGTGTGACCAGCAGGTGGAGGGAGGTCATCCTGCCCCTCTGCTCTGCCCTGGGGAGGCCCCAGCTGGAGCACTGGGACCAGTTCTGGGCTCCCCAGTTCCAGAAGGACAGGGAACTGCTGGAGAGGGTACAGCAGAGGGCTACAAAGATGATGAGGGGCCTGGAGCATCTCTCTGATGAGGAGAGGCTGAGGGACTTGGGTCTTATTAGTCTGGAGAAGAGAAGGCTGAGGGGGGATCTGATCAACATCTATAAATACTTGAAGGGAGGGTGTCAAGAAGGTGGGGCAAGTCTTTTGTCAGTGGTGGCCAGGGACAGGACAAGAGGAAATGGGCACAAACAGGAACACAGGAAGGAACACCTAGACATGAGGAGGAACTTCTTCACTTTGAGAGTGGCAGAGCCCTGGAAGAGGCTGCCCAGAGAGGTGGTGGAGTCTCCTTCTCTGGAGACATTCAAAACCCCCCTGGATTTGTTCCTGTGCAACCTGCTCTGGGTGGACCTGCTTTGGCAGGGGGTTGGACTAGATGATCTCCAGAGGTCCCTTCCCACTCCATATCATTCTCTGATTCTGAGTAAGTTGCTTTGAACTACTGATTTCCAAAAGAAGGGTTCATGCTTGGAGAGATAAAGACAGCTTTCTGCACTTAAAACAGCTGCTCTCTCCCTGTTCTGAACGCACTAATTATAAGCAGTTGTCAATGAAGATACTGGCAGAAGTCTAAAGAGGTTCTTCATCAATTTTATAACGCACAGGAGCAACTCTGTGTTTCCTGGTGGACACACATCTCTGGTAAAATCAGCTGATTCTGATAGCATTCCATATGTATCTAAGAGTATAGTTTTAACTATGTATTTCTCTCTTTAATTCTCGTTAATGTCCCTCCTGATCTTGCTTTAACCCTATTTTGAGCTAAGGAGATACAGTACTCTTGAGAGTGGCTTTGTTTTCAAGTCTCCAGAGATGGAGCTCCTTCCTGAAAGTGGTGGTTCTTGTTGACTTGCTTTGATTCTTTCCAGTTTGGGGCCCCTCAAGACAGGAAAGACCTTGAGGGGCTGGAGTGGGTCCAGAGAAGGGCAACGGAGCTGTGAGGGGTCTGGAGAACAAGTCTTGTGAGGAGCGTCTGAGGAAGCTGGGGGTGTTCAGCCTGGAGAAAAGGAGGCTGAGGGGAGGCCTTCTGGCTCTCTCCAACTCCCTGAAAGGAGGGTGTAGCCAGGGGGGGTCGGTCTCTTCTCCCAAGTCCCAGGTGATGGGACAAGAGGAAATGGCCTCAATCTGCTGTGAATATTCTGCAGCAAACTGTTGTTGAGTACTGGGTTCTGGGCATTTTAAGCAATTATGTATTTAAAAAAATGCTATGTTTTCAATATCCACTATTGTGGATAGTTCCAGCTACCCTGTACCCCTGCCTGGTATGTGATTGTAGGGAAGAGAAAGGATGGAGGCAAAAAGTGTATTTCTTTATAGCTCCTTCCAACACCTTCCTAATAACTTTGAAAAAGCTTCTGAAATAAACATTTTCCCTCACTTCATACAGAATAAAATTCCTTCATTTTATGGCATTCTGTGTCCTCTGGCAGGCCCGAAAGCAAACGGTAACACCTTGAATCTCTCCCTTTTACAATTATCCTTTTTGATCTTTAGTAACTGAAGACTCTGGTTTCACAGGAGAAACCTAATAATTCACTTTATTTTACTCGTCCTTCAACCGGTTACTTTTCTGTTCGCACAGTCTGAGGTGTGAGAACAGTCCCCGTGTGACACTTCCACCTTTTCCTGATGAGCTTCTTTCCCTGAATAGTGTCCTCCTTGTTTCTGCATCGAGACTCAGTCCTGGAATGTCACCAGATACAGAAGCACTTCTTTTTACTTATTTTTATTGCGAATCTAAAGTACTAAGTACCCTGAGCATTAACTTACTGCAGTGTGTGTTACCTCTGCAGTGTTTGATGTGTCTCTCAAGAATATAGATGATGAACATGATGGAGTATTCAGCATGTCCATGAGCCAGCAATGTGCCCTTGTGGCCAATGGCATCCTGGGGGGCACCAGGAAGAGTGTGACCAGCAGGTGGAGGGAGGTCATCCTGCCCCTCTGCTCTGCCCTGGGGAGGCCCCATTTTTATTGTGAATCTAAAGTACTAAGTACCCTGAGCATTAACTTACTGCAGTGTGTGTTACCTCTCCAGTTGAAGAATATAGATGATGAACACATTGGAGTATTCAGGATGTCCATGAGCCAGCAATGTGCCCTTGTGGCCAAGAAGGCCAATGGCATCCTGGGGTGCACCAGGAAGAGTGTGAGCAGCGGGTGGAGGGAGGTCATCCTGCCCCTCTGCTCTGCCCTGGGGAGGCCCCATCTGGAGCACTGGGTCCAGACAGGAAGGAACACCTAGACATGAGGAGGAACTTCTTCACTTTGAGGGTGGCAGAGCCCTGGAAGAGGCTGCCCAGAGAGGTGGTGGAGTCTCCTTCTCTGGAGACATTCAAAACCCCCCTGGATTTGTTCCTGTGCAACCTGCTCTGGGTGGACCTGCTTTGGCAGGGGGTTGGACTAGATGATCTCCAGAGGTCCCTTCCCACTCCATATCATTCTCTGATTCTGAGTAAGTTGCTTTGAACTACTGATTTCCAAAAGAAGGGTTCATGCTTGGAGAGATAAAGACAGCTTTCTGCACTTAAAACAGCTGCTCTCTCCCTGTTCTGAACGCACTAATTATAAGCAGTTGTCAATGAAGATACTGGCAGAAGTCTAAAGAGGTTCTTCATCAATTTTATAACGCACAGGAGCAACTCTGTGTTTCCTGGTGGACACACATCTCTGGTAAAATCAGCTGATTCTGATAGCATAGTAAGTTGCTTCGAACTACTGGTTTCTAAAAGAAGGGTTCATGCTGGGAGAGATAAAGACAGCTTTATGCACTTAAAATAGCTGCTCTCTCCCTGTCCTGAACGCACTAATTATAAGCAGTTGTCAATGAAGATACTGGCAGAAGTCTAAAGAGGTTCTTCACCAATTTTATAACGCTGAGGAGCAACACTGTGTTTCTTGGTGGACGCACATCTCTGGTAAAATCAGCTGATTCCAATAGCATTCCATATGTATCTAAGAGTATAGTTTTAACTATGTGTTTCTCTCTTTAATTCTCGTTAATGTCCCTCATGATCCTGCTTTAACCCTATTTTGAGCTAAGGAGATACGTTTTAACTATGTATTTCTCTCTTTAATTCTCGTTAATGTCCCTCCTGATCTTGCTTTAACCCTATTTTGAGCTAAGGAGATACAGTACTCTTGAGAGTGGCTTTGTTTTCAAGTCTCCAGAGATGGAGCTCCTTCCTGAAAGTGGTGGTTCTTGTTGACTTGCTTTGATTCTTTCCAGTTTGGGGCCCCTCAAGACAGGAAAGACCTTGAGGGGCTGGAGTGGGTCCAGAGAAGGGCAACGGAGCTGTGAGGGGTCTGTCTAAAAGGAGGGTGTAGGTGGGGGTTCCGGTCTCTTCTCCCAAGGAACAAGTGATGGGACAAGAGGAAATGGCCTCAAGTTGCACCAGAGAAGGTTTAGGATGGATATTAGGAAAAACATCTTCTCCAAAAGGGTTGTCAAGCCTTGGAACAGGCTCCCCATGGCAGTGGTGGAGTCACCATCCCTGGGGGTATTTAAAAGCTGGGCAGACGTGGTGCTGAGGGACATGGGTTAGTGGTGGGTTTGTCAGTTTGAGGTTGGTGGTTGGACTTTATGATTCTTTTATTTTAGGAAGTAAAGAGGATGCCTGTTTGATCTGTGACTCGTGTCAAATACTAACTTAGGAACAGTATGTGGCATGTATAGAAATTTGGCATAATTGAGATACTATTTTAGGAGGTAAATAGGATGCCTGTTTGATCTGTGACTCATGTCAAATACTGACTTAGGAACAGTATGTGACATGTATAGAAATTTGGCATAATTGAGATACATATTGAGAGCTGCCCTGAGACCAGCAGAGGGCCACAAAGATGTTCCAAGGGCTGGAGCCCCTCTGCTGTGAGGACAGGCTGAGAGAGTTGGGGGGGTTCAGCCTGGAGAAGAGAAGGCTCCAGGGAGATCTTAGAGCCCCTTCCAGTCCCTCAAGGGGCTCCAGGAGAGATGGGGAGGGACTCTTGATCAGGGACTGGACCCATAGGACAGGGGGGAATGGTTTTAAACTGAAAGAGGAGAGATTTAGGTGAGATCTCAGGAAGAAATTCTTTGCTGTGAGGGTGGTGAGACACTGGAGCCCTGAGGAGAAGGGCTTGGGGATGCTGGGAGATGAGAAGCTCAATATGAGCCACCAATGTGCACTGGCAGCCCAGAAAGCCCAACCCAAACCATTCTATGATGTTGGGATAATTGCTCTGGCACAGCCCAGTGAAAAAGCAGCTGAAGTTGATTCAAGGCTGTTCTCAGCCAATGTCAATAAATTTCATTTTTAAAGGCAGTCCCTGCAGGGGGCTGGTGCAGGAACTGCAGAATTCTGAATGATGGTAAGTTTTTTTTTCTCTACAGTTTCTATTTTAAGCCAGTTTACAATGGAGTGAGCTTGATTTTTATTGTTAATTTAAATTCTATAACTCCCATCTTACCTGGAGTTTCATCTTGGCAGTGGTTTTCCATCTCCCGATTCTTAAAAGCCTTTGAGTGGTGTTTGATTTATTGGAATTTTAAAACCAGGAAGGACTTTGCGGTGTCAGCGGTAACGTGCATCATCTCCAGTTTGGCTGATTCAGCCGTCAGGGGTCGTAGAGAATCTGGCACCAGTAGAGCTGAGGGAAGAAAAACACTGGAAGGAAACCACCTTCTGGAGGAGTTTAAGGGAGACAGGTAGAGGATTTGTGAGAAGATCCTTGATTTTTTCAAAATTGAGCAATTCTACGCTGGTGATGAACGGGGGAACTGATGCTTGAGTCTGGAACGGGTCAAGGTAACGAGACATGATGGTTGAGACTCTCCTGTGCTGGAAGAACACATGATTTTCCTGGTTCTGGTCTAAAGCTTGTCTAAATTGGGTGGGTTTTGGTTTAAAGGAATAACACAGGTCACTGTTTCCTCCTGCGCAGAGAGCGGCGATTACACAGATTACAGCGACGACGATTACCTGGAAACGAGGAGGAGGAGATCGAGACGGAATCAGAAGAGACAAGTTAATTATAAGGAAGATTCCGAAAGTGATGGCTCCCAGAAAAGCGTCCGCTACGGGAAGGAGTTAAGAAGAGTTCATAAACGCAGACTCTCCACTTCGGATAGCGAAGGTAAAATAAAGAGTGGGCCGTTTGCAGGAGCTGGGATAGCCCAGCCTTAGCATGAAAACTGTGTAAAATTCAGAGATTTCAGAGAATCTTTGTTCTAGAGTTCCTTGGTGTTTCCTCCTGAAACAGTCCAGGGGGAACTTCGTGATGCGCTGTTACGGTCACTTCTCAACATCATCCTTGTCCCTAACGCTGATTTCCAGCTCTGAATCTACTCTGCCTGGCATGGAGTGCTGGGATTCCAAAACTGGCACTAATGTCATTATTTCACCACTTCCCCATTAAGAGGTGACAAAGCTTCATCCCGTGAGTCTTTAAAGTCTCCTTTGTAAGAAAAAGGGTGTTACTTCTGCTGCCCTGATTGTATGGGCGCTGCTGGTTAATGCTCATTCAGCCTCCTGTTTGAAGGAGCTCTGAGAAGCACAGAGGAAGCCTCCTCTCAGTCACGTGGTGGGCATTTTGATGTAAAATTAGCTTTTCCAAAAGCCACCACTGACTTTTGGGTGCTTTGCCTTCTTGGGGCGCCCGGCGTGTGACAGCTCAGGGGTGGCTTTTGGGGAGGCCGAGGGGGGCGGGTTGCAGTGGATGCCAGGCCTTCTGCAGAAAAACACCCCACTTTGCCAGGCTCTGGTTGGTAGGTGAGTTTTGGAAGTGCTGGCCTGAGTTTACAGAGCGTCAGAGGATCCTCTTAGACAAAGGGATGCGAGTGGTGGTGGGTGAGAAGCTCAACGTGAGCCATGGCAGCCCAGAAAGCCCCCCACACCCTGGGCTGCATCCCCAGCAGGGTTGGGGGGGGATTCTGCCCCTCTGCTCCCCTCTGGGGAGACACCCCCCACCCAGTGCTGCCTCCAGCTCTGGGACCACCAACGTAGGAAGGACATGGACCTGTTGGAGCGGGGCCAGAGGAGGCCACCATGGAGATGCTGGGAGGGCTGGAGCCCCTCTGCTGGGAGGACAGGCTGAGAGAGTTGGGGGTGTTCAGCCTGGAGAAGAGAAGGCTCCGAGGGAGAGCTTAGAGCCCCTTCCAGTCCCTCAAGGGGCTCCAGGAGAGATGGGGAGGGACTCTTGATCAGGGAGGGGAGCCATAGGACAAGGGGGAATGGTTTTAAACTGAAAGAGGAGAGATTTAGGTGAGATCTCAGGAAGACATTCTTTGCTGTGAGGGTGGTGAGAGCCTGGCCCAGGTTGCCCAGAGAAGCTGTGGCTGCCCCATCCCTGGAGGGGTTCAAGGCCAGGCTGGATGGGGCTTTGAGCAACCTGCTCTGGTGGGAGGTGTCCCTGCCCATGGCAGGGGGTTGGAACTGGATGATCTTTAAGGTCCCTTCTAACCCAACCAATTCTATGATTCTAAGTAGGTAACACAACCATACACTGTCTCGAAAACTTGATCTTCTACATCAATCCAGTCTGTTCTTGGTGTAAGCTCTGTGCTCAGGGTCTGCTGGACGGCGGCTGAATGTTCTGCTGCTCGCATTTGTGACTTTAAACTGTGCCTGATTGACGGTGTCTTTTCTCCATGAAATCCCTTTTCCCCAGGTATTTTTGGTACTGGCTTTTTGCATATTAAAATCCACACCATTTAGTACCCATTCCAGTAGGTTCCCACAGCGTGTTACACAATGTAACGGCGTTACTGGAAATGTAATTCTGCTGAAAATACAGAAACTCTGACAGAATCTCCATCAGCTTCAACCTACATGAAATAATACCTTTTAAAATGACTATTTGCATGCACTTCTGATGGAAATCACAAAGATGATGTTTGCTGTTTGATTTTTAAATCTCCATCTTTTCTCACCGAAGCCGTTGAGGGTCAGCGCGGAGGCTGTTGGTGTGAAGGCAACGTTCTGGTTTGCCAAAAACAAAAAAAAAAGGGGCCTCCTATTAAAGGGCAGCAAACTTGAGGTGACAGTTAGAGGGTCTTCATATGATTTGGAATAAGATGTATATAATTTGGAGGTGGTGGGCCTATAGTAAAGTTGTGCATGTGTGTATATAAATATATCTATCTATTTTTTTGTGGTAGTGCAGCCATTATTTGGGATCTCAGTTTGTGGAAGGGTGAACTTCAACAAGGGCAAGTGTAGGGTGCTGCACCTGGGGAGGAATAACCCCCTGCACCAGGACAGGTTGGGGCTGACCTGCTGGAGAGCAGCTTTGAGGAGAAAGACCTGGGAGTCCTGGTGGACAACAGGGTGACCATGAGCCAGCAATGGGCCCTGGTGGCCAAGAAGGCCAATGGCATCCTGGGGGGCCCCAGGAAGAGTGTGAGCAGCAGGTGGAGGGAGGTCATCCTGCCCCTCTGCTCTGCCCTGGGGAGGCCCCATCTGGAGCACTGGGACCACAGAAGTCACAGATCAGACCCCACGTAACTTAATGTGCTCAAACGATCCACAGATGCTTACAGAAATTTGAGACACAGCTTGTGATTCAGCTTCAGGCTCACCACAGAAGAGAGCAAAAATATCATGATCTCACACTGACACCCGCAGCAAAAGTGGATGAGCCATTGTGAAACCTTCCAGTTACATCAGTTCTGGAGAAACCCACTTCTGGATTTTTACAAACTGCTTAAATTTTGGTTAGATCTTTACAAAAATTTAAACCTATTGCTCAGGCTGTCAGTTCTGACTAAATAACCAAAAAGGTAGCAAAGAATCCCTTCTTGGACCACCACCTTGTGCCGTGTTGTGCTTCTACTCAAAATCTGGACGTTGTCCTGTGAGGGCTGATTTTTCAGCCCTCTGAGCTCAGCTCAGCCCTCGGAACTCAGCTCACTGAGTGTCCCACAAATGAAAAAGGAGGAAGTACTGCATTGCTCACTAATGCTTGCACCTTTCCACATGTACAGCTGTCTTGCCTCACACTTGGCAAGAAGTTAATTAAACCTTCAGAAAAGCTCCAGTCCCTATTTCAGGGGCACTTACAGAGTGCTGAAATGAACACGTATTCCTCCATATGTGCTGTCTGACACGGGCATTATTTCTGTTTTTATCCCTTCCCGCAAACTTTAAAGTTTTTGCAAAGCAGTAAAAGGCAGAGGCAAGAACAGAACAGAGAAAAACACTTCTTTAAGTAGTTCCAGGAGTTTGGAAGAGTTATAATCAGATAATAAGATTGCTTTGGTGGGGGGGCGGGTTAGTTTAATGACATGTCTGTGAACCCAAACAGTACAGCAGATAAACATACGCAATCCACGACTGGAATACCATTTTCAGATAGTATTTTAACAGCTTTCTTTCCCACATAAATGTGATGTTGGAAAGCAACCAAAGACCTCTCAGCAAGCACCCTCTGATGCCACACTGTCCACCACTCCTTTAGGCTGCCCAGCTGTGCACAAGCCCCACAAGGGGCACCTGGTTAGCACAACTGGACACATGTACTAGAAATGTACATGGCAAGTAGTGCACATGAAGATTTGTTATCACTTGCACTAAACCACCCCACCAGAACTAAGTCTACAAGCCACATCTAAACAAGTAGAATTTGTTTTCTTCAATAGGCATTTGAGTTCATCCTCATTACAGCCCGTTCACTCCTGTTGCAGCACACACATGTGCAGTTCCCAAATGGCAAGCTAGAATAAACCATGCAATTTATACCAACTCACATGTATACCATCATGTTTTCTAAAATACATTACAATTTGGCATACAGAGTAGTTTTAAAACAGAATACACCAGAAACAAGTTTGTTTTCTTGGACGTAATTTGAGTGCGACCTGTCAAACACATAGAATGTTCCAGGACACAACTCTTGTTGTGAATTGTCATGAAATCTTGGGGCCTACAGGAGAGAGGGGGAGGGTGTGCAGAAGCACTTGTGCTTTAGCTTTTTCATATGAGATATATATTCTATTTAAATGTTCACAACTTAGATTACAACTTAACAGACAGTTAAAAAGAAAATTCAATGTCTGTACTGTCGCATTTTGTGAGTTGTAGGTTAACATACCATAGCTCATTTTAGTAATCACCTTCCTGGAAGCAGTTTGATTTTTTTTTTTTTTTAATACTGGAGGCAAAGAGAATTATTAGAGGCCAAGAAGGTACCATAAAACGAGAACTCTACTATCCATTATGACTTGCAGACTTTCCTAATAAACATCCTTTCAAGTGTTTGTACAGTAAAGTGTACTGTCATGAAGTTTTTGACAGTCGAAACCCGTTAGCCGTTGAGTTTCTAAAACTGTCTCAACGCGTAGGTCATCGGCTGGTCCTTCCATGCCCCGGTGTCTGGTGGGGAGGACGTATGGATGGGACGTTCAGAAGTCTGTAGGTCGGATGGCGTCTTGACGTGCTGCAAACTTTTGACAGACAAAAATAAAAAAAGACCCCTCTGTGGTAGTAGCTGCCCCGGCCACGCTCGAGTCTCACCGTCCGGCGGAGTTAATGGCCAACGCAAATACCTTTGTGCAAACGGCACCGACCACAGAACGACGGTGCGTCAGAGGATGGAGGGATGTTTCAAACCAACCCGTGACTGGTCCATTCATGTCCTTAATATCTACTTCAAATTGAAGTAAAACAAAATGGAACAGTTTTCCTTTTGGAGGTTTTCTGTTTGGGGTTTGTGTGTGGGTTTTGTTGGTTTTTTGGTTTTATTTTGTTGTTTTTTTTGTTTTGTTTTGTTGTTGTTTTGATTTTACTTATCTGCCTGGATGTATTAGCAGGTTTTGAATGTAGTGTTGGCCTTTGGCCATTAGAATTTTCTTAAAAAAAAAAAACACAAAAATACATTTTAATAATTGTCGTGTGACCAACTGATTTCAAGAAGGCAGTATTTCTGAGAGAAAACGCTCGACTCCAAGACATCTCATCAACTTTAGAGTCAGCGTGAAGCGGTACGTGCTTTTCTTCCAGACAAAAAAAAAGATGATAAAATGAAAAACCATGAGGCACGTAAAGAGCAAGAGCTGATGTGTTTTGGGCAGCGCTGGGTTTTCTCTGTACCCTGAATTAAGGTGCAGGCGGGAGCGTCTGTACATGTTGTAGCACAAGGACAACTCAACCAGCTCAACCAGATCTGCCAAGCTTTGAAATCCAGAAAAAAAAAAAAAAAAGGTCGCACCTATTAATCCTTTTGCTCTGAGATTTGGATTTTTGACTGGTGTTGATGTCCATTGCCGGCAATGGATGCACCAAAACTGCTGCTGCCACCGAGGAGTGAGTTCTCCTTCCCTGCCCCACCTGATTCCCTTCCATTATATTGTATTTCCCACTCAGTCATTAAGCACTTCTGTTTTCCCAGCATCTCTCTGATGAGGAGAGGCTGAGGGACTTGGGTC